TTGCAAAGATGAAGTCCTAGTGGAGACCTGATTTGTTCATTCATGCTCTTCGCTTTTAGTATCACTTCATTTGCTATCCTAATTGTTTTCTTCTTCACTTACAGAAGAAATATAGGAGTGGTAATAACCCCTTGTAACCAAGAGCGCTATCTCAAAGAACAGACAGCTCGTTACTTCTGTCAAGCAAAGTTTTTCGATTTTCGAACGGGAAGTTTAGTCCTAACGTGATTTGCATATATCAAACTTTTGCTGTGTTCTTACGCAACAAAAGTACCATTTCAGTTCTAAAAAATCTATCCTGAGCTATACGTTCGGTAGATTACTTTTTTTTGAGTTTCACTATATTTAATAGTTACCTGTGGTTTTGCCCCAGCTTACTATTCGGTTTTTTTTTGTTTTTCACGTATAGACTAGTTTCAGTTTATATCACTCGTTTTGTCCGTTTTTGTCCGTTTTCAGTGTGCATTTTAGTGTTTTTTTTAAAAAGGTCTTAAGCTTTTGCCAGCATCTATAACATAGTTTGCTTCAACACCGTCATGAAAAACTCATGCAAACGTCCGGGATGCCGTTTTGCTGTCACAACTGGCATGCAGTGTGACAACTGCAAAGGTTGGTTTCACGAAGCATGCACAAATCTGACAGCAACTGCTTACAACAAACTCAGCAAGTCAAACCAAAAGTGGGTATGTGTCACGTGCAACACGGACGCAGTAGTCTTGCTGAGTAACATCATTGTCCTACTGACAGGTCTTCGAAACAAGCTGTCAGTTAACTTGGAATACGACAGTAAAAAACCGATATACAAACAAGAGCGCGCAACGGACTCAAAAATAGGGATGTCGATAGGTATGTCATCGATGGAGCATCCATCAACACTAACGACGACCATCATTACGTCGACGGTACTAGACTCCCTAGGCAAACTCGGGTCTCCCAGCTCAGGGTCGCTGAACACAACAGTGGTTCCCAAAAACCCTGCAGGCGATTCGACCCATGTTAAGAGAGCCCAAAAGAACCAGGCATCACCGCCTAAGCCGAGCAACCCAAGTGTTGCTGCACGGAAAATAACTGGTGATTTAGTCGCACAGTCTACCCCCAAGACTGTTCGTCCGGTCAATAAAGAGCTCAAGATTCATAAACGCACACTGACCTCCAAAAAACAAGTTATTAAACCTGAACCCATCGTGAAACCTGGTAAATTAACAACAGTTCGTGACGATTCTCTCATTATCATGAACCTCGTCGACAATCCTGACCTTCCTCTCAGTCTGCAGGATAAAAACGACAGGATGCTGTGGGGTGAATTGAACAAAAAGCTCGAACTTCCTAGAATAGAGCCTTTGACGGTCACCCGGCTCACTCGAGGAAAGGATTCTAAGCATCTAAATCACCCGAGGCTTCTCCGAGTAACACTTAAGGATGCTACCGACGTAGAGGACGTCTTGCTAGCAAGCCACTTGCTGAAATCAGATGGTAACGTAAGAATGCTGCCCGACATACCGTACTCTGAGCGCAGTATCATACGAAACGTCCCTAAAGAATTTCGCGAGAAGTTTTTCCGCGGAAGAAACATAATTGTCCAAGGTATACCGGAAAATGCAGACCCTACTCAATCAAATTCTGACATCAGGGAATGGAAATTCATCAAACAGTCCTTAAGGCTCAAATACATACTGACTCAGCATGTGACGAGACTAGCCAAGAAGGACGGTGATCTTAGACCCCGTCTAATGAAGATAACCTTCCCATCTTCCCACAAGGCGGCTGCAGTTCTGGAAGCATTTCGTGCTAATAGACGTCGATTGCCACCTGGAATCCACATGCACCCGGATAGGCCATACGAAGTCAGGACCAAGAACAAAGGCAAGCTGGAGCTGACCATTCCACTTGTGGACTGTCTAAACGATAAAAAAACGTGTAAAGGACAGGGCCTACCACCTCGGTCAACCTCACATAGGTGGGATACCTGTCCATTCACATAAGGTTCATACAGAAAAACAGGACGAAGCTCACGCGTTCCAAATTGAAAGCATAAACTGCTTATATATGAACGCCGCGAGTCTACCAAACAAACTGGATGAACTACGTGAACTTAGCAAAGCTAATAAGGCCCATCTGATAGGAATATCTGAAACCTGGATATCTTCTCAGTTCTCAGACCAAGAGTTAGCACTACCTGGGATGACCTTGTTCCGCAACGAAAGAAAAACAGGAATTGGGGGCGGAGTAGCCATATACATAAGCTCTTGCTTGGAGGTGCACCAGGTTCACAACCTCGAGTTTAACAATCTTGAGGAATCCATATGGTGCTCTGTAAGGTTGTCTAGTACTTCCAGGTGTCTAGTCGGAGTCATTTACAGGAAGCCAACTGCCGACACCGAGTACGATAGTCGTATGCTGGAAGGACTATCCCGCTCTATCCGTCTCGGTTTCACACACATCCTGATTCTAGGGGACTTTAATCTCCCTAGAGTCAACTTCGCGGAGCACACGTACACTGGAGGCGACAACTCAACTGAAGCTCGGTTCTTCAACCTCATCGATAACTTGGGCTTATATGAAAATGTGAGGTCGGCAACTCGTTGGAGAAACAGTCAGACACCATCGCGCTTAGACTGTGTATTCACTAACGAAGAATTCCTAGTCGACAACCTCTCAATCCTGGCTCCTCTGGGAAAAAGCGATCATGCCGTCATAGCCTTCAGTTTTGTCATCAAAACTAAGCTAAGGTATCCCAACAATAATTTGCGATCGAATTTTAAACGGCTGAATGTGCGAGCTCTACATGACCATCTACAACAGGTGGCTTGGGATGTTCACCCTCAAATCGATGTGGATGGTCATTGGGACTTATTACTGCACACGCTCTTATGTGCTACAGACCATTCAGTTCCTCAAACGGTTCCCAAAAGCTTCAAACCACCTACAGTAATCATGAACCGTACCCTTCGCCTCCTAAGCCGCAAACGGCACTGTTGGGCGGAATACAAACGAACTAATAACGATGGAGCGTATAGGCAATACAAACATATCAGGAACACATGCACGAAGGCTATAAGAGAAGACAGGCTTCAGTACCAAACAAAGCTTATGGACAAATTCGCCTTTAACCCTAGAAGCCTATTCCGTTATGCAGCCTCTCTTCGTCAAGCCAAAACAGGAGTTTCTCAACTGCTAGGTCCTAACGGCCCGACCAACAACGATGGCGACGCCGCCAACCTTCTGGCGGCCCATTACTCTCAAACATTTCAACCGGCTGATATCAACTTTATCGACGACAGTTTCATCTGCAATTCCACAGGACTTTCTGAAGTGGACCTAAGCGCTGACTTGGTGTTCCGGAAACTGCAGCACTTAAGACTTGACACTTCTCCTGGCCCGGATATGGTTCATCCTGCCATACTGAGGGAGGCAGCCTCAATCCTGGCAACGCCGCTTAGCGTGATGTTTTCACACTCGCTTAGCCGAGGCAAACTACCGGAAAATTGGAAGTTGGCTCACATCACACCAATTTTCAAAGGTGGTCGACGCAATGAACCTTCAAGTTACCGGCCGGTAGCTCTTCTGTCGTTACCTTCAAAACTCATGGAGTCCCTGATATGCGACGGTTTAAATGACTATCTACTGTCCTTAAATTTCTTCTCACCCCAACAGCATGGTTTCAGGAAGGGTTACTCTTGTATAACCAACCTGCTGACTGCGGTGGACAGATGGACAAGCATCCTCGATCGCAAGGGAAAGGTTGATGTCATTTACCTTGATTTCTCAAAAGCTTTTGATAAGGTTAACCACTTGTGTCTTATCAACAAGCTCAAACGACTAGGTATCAAACCACCTCTAATCGACTGGCTTACTTCATACCTAAAAAATCGACACTTTAAGGTTAGGGTTAATTTCACTTTATCTCAGGCTATGGAATGTCCTAGTGGGGTCCCCCAGGGCTCAGTACTAGGGCCTTTTCTCTTCTTGATCTACATAAATGATCTTCCTCAACAGGTAACGTCAGACTTATTACTTTTTGCCGACGACGTGAAACTTTGGAGAGAGATACGCAACCAAGACGATATACAGGCACTTCAAGAGGATCTGACTCGACTTCATAGTTGGGCAGACGATAACGGACTTACCTTTAACACTTCAAAGTGTAAAGTAGTCCATCTGCGACATGTCGCAAACTACAGTTACAACTTAGGAAACTCCTCTCTAGTAGTATCCCAAGTCGAAAAAGATTTAGGAGTCCTGATGCCCCATGACTTAAAGTCTTACGCTAACTGTGACAAAAATGCCTTCCGAGCAAACCTTGCACTGGTAACGTTGAGGCGCATTTTTGGTCAGTTTGACGGAAGAACTTTCCACACAATCTTCAATAGTTTCATCCGTCCCCATTTAGAGTACGGAAACATAATACTCCCCCCCTCACTCCAAAAGGATAAGGTCACTTTGGAGTGTATCCAACGGCGAGCCACGAAATCAGTTCGAGGACTCAAATCTAAGCCTTACGAAGAACGCCTCCGTTCACTAAACCTTTACCCACTAGAATATAGGCGTCTTAGAGGTGATTTATTAATGGCTTATAGTATTCTTAACACTTCTGGACATCCTCTTAAACACCTACTTAAGCTTAGTTCGAACAATAACCTAAGGGGTAACACCCAGAAACTGGAAACACAACATAGCAAGACGGAATGTAGACACAACTTCTACTCCTTAAGAGTTGTCAAAAGCTGGAACTCGCTGCCGGCCGAGCTAGTCCAAGCGACTTCTCAGGAGTCCTTCAAGAGGCAACTTGACCTATTCTTAAGGACCAAGGACAGCATCGCACTATGATTTACCAATTTCTTTTCCTCTTTTATTGTTAACATACCTAGGTTCCTGCCTGGAGGATTTGGTGATCCCCTGCTACTAGACACGGAAGCCTGTTAAGCGAAAGCTTCTTCTATTCCGTCCACAACCATTTGAACCATTTGAACCATTTAAGTCAACGGTTGGCTGTAGAGGTTGATTTGCGCCGTCAAGGTCGTTTGGTTCATTGATACGGTTTCCCACTTCAATGTTCTCTTCAAAAAAGGTTTTGTAGCTAATGAGATTTCAGTGATTAGGATCCGATAACAGATTTGTGGGACACATTTTCTTTTGCTGAACGTTACTGCCACGTACAAGCCCTCTATGCAATAGCATGAGGGTTGCTAAACAGTATGAAGAATGAGAACTATGATTTGCAGTTGGTTAGGGTTAGGACTTAGATCTAGGGTTTTCATCACAAGATGATGTCATCTAAAGTGTCGAAGCGTTATTTAACCAAATGGATGAATCAATGTCGCACGAAAATCCGAGTCTTGTTATCTTATGTCTAATTGGTTTGTCCATAAATTATAGTCTCATCGCATTAAATGCGCTCTTCACAAGCTAAATCTAGAAAGATCGATGTTCTTTCGGAAACTAGACATTTTCGGAATCATGCTATTCCACTCCCTCCTTTCTATGCTGTTCCACTGTCTTTCAAAGATCAAAATGCTGGTTCATTGTTGGTACATCACTTACTGTTCGTCAGTACTAGAGAAAGTTGGAGGAAAACTGTTTTACGTCTTTATAACCAAAAGTTTTGGTGCACTCAGAAATAGGGAGGATTTTTGTTTCAACAATCACTTCCATGCATCGGTTAGTAAAGTGAACAGGTAAAACTCCCATAAAGCACCGATTTATTTTCCATTTGAGCCTCATTGCAGGAAGTCAAATCATAAAGGCCATACATTACACTTTCTCAAGCTACTCATTCAAAGGAAAATTTTAGAGATACTGCATTGAACACATTAAGAAAACAAAATCGACAGTATTTTCAGCATAACACCAACGATTCAGAAAAAGTTATGGGACATATGTACTAGTTCTTTGTCGTTTCCTCTTACCTATTACGTGGACCTATTAAACCTGACTTTTAAGCTCCTGCGGGGTCTAAAGAACTGGACAACTCATGGGGTGGTGCTTTCAGGGCGTTTGTTTTCGAATGCTAATAACCTACGAATATATTCAATCCTCGAAGACTACATGTTACAGCCATAAATTAGCATAGAACAAACTGCTGATCATTAAGATTTTTTAGGATTTTCTGTGTGTTCTAATTTACAGTTCGTTAGTGAATTCAAAAAGATTTTCTTACGGACTGTAATGTTTTGAATGTCTTAACAGGTATGATAAAATACTCAAAGTATGTCGCAACTTGCACTTGACATTTAGAAATTGACTCCAATCGGGATATAAATAAGGCATGTTTTAGATGATTTTATCGTTTCTCTCTGAAGCGATACATTAGATACTGTGGGTGAGTAACGTATTGAAATTTCCTTCATATCAAAGTAAACCAGTCTAAATAGGACTAAAGATTTAAGGAGTATTTGGGACTATCATTTTAGTGGCTAAGAATTGTTGTTAGGTGATACTTAAGCTCAGCCTATATATCTTCGTGACTGTACTGGATATTGTGGGTTTTTTTTTGTTACGTGACCTGAAGAATTGTTTCAAAACCTGTCACGCAGTTGCTTCAAGCATTTGTAAAGAACACTTCTTACCTTGCTCTTTCGTATGGTACTCGTATTTTTGCTGTCTTTTCTTCTATTTCTACATTTAACGTCATACAACTTTTGGCTCTACCTAAAATATTTGATTAATCTAAACGACTCCACCATAATCAGCAAAGCGAATCAATGTAGGGGGCTTTAGGTCACTATATTATGGTAGGATATATTTTACTTTCTCTTTGTAGTTTCCAAACTCACCTCCTTTTGTTGTTTTCATAATAGGATGGATGTTCATTGTGAAATGAATCAAGAAGTCGATTCCAATTATCCGAATTCCTACTCTAAAGAAGTTGAGGAAGCGCTTTCCCGGCTTAATTTAAAATCAGACAGTTTAGATGATCCTGATTTTAATGTTATTTCTTATATTAATGAGGTTAACTTACTACAAAATGTCTATGACATATTTTTTAGAGATTTCCCAGCGAACAGTCACTGGCAAATATAGATGAGTTGATAGCTGAAGCGGAAGGAAAAATTCGCGAACTAGACGATGAGACTAGAGACCTACTACGTGGTCGCTGGCAAACAGAGGATAAAGGACAAGAGATTGTTCAGGATGCAAAGGATATGATAAAAGTACTATTCTCTAGGTTGGTTTGTATTTGTGTTGGTGTGTAACTTGCAGATAAATTCATATTTAAGTAAATACCTTCATAATCACTAGCTCGTTTACCAAGCGGTAGTTTGCGTACCATACTTTGAACCACGTAGTGTGAATACAGGTGATACCACTTGCCTCACGTATCCAAAATGATGACTGAAAGTCAAGTGTTAGAACTACCAATCCATCACTGTTATGATGGTATGGCCGAGAGTGAAGTGGTCCCTCCCTCCCTCTCGAAATGCTCTCACACGGCCACGCGTATACAGCCTCTGCCAGGGAAGTCTTACTCACTGCCTTCTCGTGGCGGGGGTGTTGTTTACAAAAATGAGAGGACAAAAAGCGAATGTCCGGCGCTTTAACCGGATCCCAAACCAATGGTGCACATGGGCCCCAGTATCATAAAGGAACAAATGGCGTATGAACCAATCGTTGGTCACCGTTTACCATGGGACTGTATCTCCTGACGTTGGTTCACTGCCTTGTGGGTCAGGCGTTTAGGTCAAAGGCTCGTGGTGTGGCCCCCTAAGAAAACCACCAGCTTCGGTCTGGACACCCGGGCAGTATCACAGCCCACACACACACACAAATATGGTGTGGCGCATATATATTTGGTGCCCTCTTGTACCAATATTTATGTGTTGAAATAAATAAATAAAATGATATTCAACATTAAATTTCTTCCTCGATGTTCTATACATCAATTCATCCTTCCACTTATATATAAGGTGTTTTTATGAGTATTATACCATATATTTACCTCGTGATGACTTTCCTAACTAGTGTTACTTGACGTTTAATAAAAAAAATTCACAAATTTAGATAATTGTTTGTGTATTTGAAATAACTTATTTGACATGTTGAGCTGTTCTGAATACGTGAAAATGAGTGATTTAATGCCATAGTTACCTGAATCAGGTAAAATCTGTGTTTTCAAGTAATATTGGTATGACACAAGTTTGATACCGCAGTGTTGCCATTAGGTGACTCGTTTTGCATGCAAGTTTGTTCCTTCTTCTTAATGAAGCTTCCAGTTCTGTCTACATTTCATATGAAATGCACCTATTATTTTACATATCAAAGAGACCCTAAGTAATGTACTTAAGTTATTGAAGTTAAAACCACACGGCTTGCCTCTCAAGTACTAGCTACTGTTATACTACAAAAATGTTGTGCGAAAGATCGACTGGTAGGGAGCAGGATTAGTCTTATTTTCATCCTTTGCCGTTAAATCGTATTACGCTTTTGATCAAAACTAACTTAGCTTCTTTGAGTTAAAATATACTCAGCCAGGGTTTGTCAACCAACAATTTTCGTCGAAAGTTTACTGACATTTGCAAAATTTCGTATTGGAATAAACTAGTTACTTTCGGGACACAACTATCTAGGGATTGCGCTAAACCTCCTGAATTTACCATAGTTTGATCTGTTTACTTGCGGCACTTCAGGTTTGATGGAATTCCATAGTGAGCTTTTTAATTGCACGGTGATAAAATAGATACATAACTCTCTTCTACTCATTTAATAATCGATTTGCGTAAGTATGGTGTGTGGTTTTTACCAAATATGTTTATTACAGACTAATTTCGTATCTAGGTAGTTCCTTGCATATATTTACCAGGAGTTCTACGTGATTGCTCTCAAAGTTCGATGTATTTTACTGATCATAGTAATGGTGGATTAAATATAGTCAGTTTACAAAACTAGTTTGTTTGCCTCCTATATTTTTCCATATTGAAGACTGTCAGTTTGCAAAATGAGGGTTTTAAAGAGGCAGAGAATAGATTGTCTAATAGTATCATAGCGTGAAAAAAATCATCATTTCACCACTTCAGTAGTAGTCTGTGACTTCAAATCTTTGCGAAGTTTTCATGAGTTATGTGACTCATTTCTAAATGTTAAGGCTTTTTTAAACAAGGTACTAAACTAACGTAATTTTATGTAGTACAATGAGTATTCCAGCCGTCAACTCAAGTAGATATCCGCCATATGGTACTATATGCATTTACTCCATACGGTAAAAATGGGCTTTTAGCGTTATATCTTCTGGTTTTAAAACGAACGCCAATAACTTTATATTTACCGAGTGTCAGACATATCTTCAGGACTATTATTTTTACTAATATGTTTACCAGTATACTGACGATGTATCATAACATACATCATTCTCTTGTGTAATTTTATCCTTAGTTTCTTAGTTATTACTATTTGAAAAATATGTCATGAAAATAATCAAAATGTGATTTCTTTCATTGTTATGTTATTTTAATAACTTAACAGAGGAAAGGACAGAGTAGTAATGTTATCGCTAATATTGTAGTGAACAAGAACACGGGTGGGGACAATCGATTGTATTTAGCACAAAAATTACAGACTATCTCAATAAAATGCGAATACCATAGTCAATCGTCAATTTGCAAAATATCATTCCATCATATCAAACTGTACTGTTTCCGTTGCAAACACTAATCCATTGTCTCCCATTACATTGTACATGCGTTTTCTTACAATTCCATTGTGCTCTTGCTCTTCCTCTCTTGATCTTCGCCATTTTCTGCTGCCGGACATTACGTTCTTTTAACGCACGTTATATACTACTTATATAAGTAGCTCACACCACAATATTACTACCACTTTTTATTGTTCTACTCTATTTGTCTTTAAGCAGAATTTTCAGTAAAAAAGTCATTGTGCACTTCATCTTATAGAATACAGGATGTTCAAGATCGAGCTACTAGATCAGAAGAAATGGTACAAGACATCACTCGGGATATACAGCAACTTGATCAAGCTAAGCGTAACCTAACTGTTTCCATAACTGCCCTCAATAATTTAATTCTTATCGTGAACACCATTGATCGTCTGAACGAATTACTTGGAATACAAAGTTCAGTGAATGATCCAATGTTTTTTGCGAAGAGCAATGACACAAATGCCAGTGCTCAGAATCCATTTTTAGAAGTTGACTCTGGTAATTTTGTTACACTTCAATTTTACTAACTATTCTGACAGGAATATTGTTTTCTCGTTATATATATATATATAGCTAGTCAGCCAATCAGTGTATCGGTTCAAGTTGCCATGTCCCATTAGCACAGCGATATGAAATTGTCAGACTAAATCTCAGAATAGTTGAGGTAGTAACAGTATTAGTGGTAACAGAGAAGATTGGGCACCGAATATACAATTCAAGAAAATTTAAATTAGCGAAATAAAAAAATTATGAGGAATTCATCAGCTTACAAGCTGTGGTAAGACAAAGAGTGGACGGACCTGCGACATTGCAAACGATTTTGAGACAGGTCATTCGAAGTCTCTGATCACTGATTGCGATAATCACGCGAAGCCCAGCTAGGTAGTCTATAACTGTTTTCATGGCTCAGTCAAATCTTCTTTGGCTTCATGGACTGGTGCCGTGTTTTGGTTTGGCCGTCCTTAGCTCTTTTCCAGCATACTCTTACACCAGACAACAACTCTCATCAAGGTAAGGGGTGGTTGGGACACGTGTTACGTGTGCCCAACCACCTCAGTTGATGAAGATTCACTACCTCGTCAATCGATTGGCCATCCTTACCTGACAATTTATTCCTAACCCCAGATATTGCTTACTCGGTAATCCCAAGATACATGAACAATGCTTTGAAGACACCTATGATCGAATACTAGTAACCTACGAATATCCTTTATCCTTACTAGTTATGTTTCACACCCTTGAAATAGAACAAGACGAACTGTTGCGCAGTAAGCTCGTCCTTTGATTGGCAAGCAGATATCTCCCCTACACCACAAGTGACAGGAGTTGACAAAATGCAGTCAGGCTTTCTTAATTTGTAACGAGACTTCGTCAGACACCAGCCGACAAAGACTGATGAAACACCTAAGATAAGTGAATTAGTCGACACACTCGACTACACCGCTTCCTATCATTGATTGGGGTGCTGACGCGGACCGGTCCTGAAGCAACATTTTGCATTTGGAGGGAAGGAGTCTCATCCCAAACATCCTTTCATTGTTGCTTAAAGTGTTCGGAAGACTGAATCTTATCAGAGTCCTAAACGAACAGAGTCACATTATCTGCTTATTCAAAGTCAACGAGTGAATCTCTCAATAGATCAACCCTTGAAAACTCAGACAATGAGAGCGTTATCTCTTAACGAATATATATGACAAAGTCAAATAAACATGGAAAATCGGGCAACCCTGGCAAACACCACTTGAAATTATCAATTTCAATAACAGGTCGCTTTATTAATGTAAGGTTTAGCAATGCGTAAGTTTGCTATTTTATATAAATCGATCAGCAAAGTAGTCTGTTTACTTTTATGCATAAGGAGGGAGCAATTTCATAATAAAGTAGCGGAACTTACGCAAAACAGCCATCATATTGACTTAGACAGTTTGTTAGAGCCCAACAAAACGTTGCATAAACACGCCATGGTAGACTGGCATCGGATGCAAAACGATAATACGTTAATTTACATAAATCATTTGAAAGGAATGAATCGCCTGAAAGTCGCTTCGAGCTTCTTAATGGAGTTTGAAGATGTTCAGCGGATAACATTGTACTTGTATATGAGCTGTCAGAAACTGGACAGTTTACTGACTGTTTGTACTGAGTAGAGAGCAAACCGACGAACTTCAAATGCTTTTCAACTGCCTTAAAAAACGGAACAATGCAGTATGAAGAAGTGGTTAAGATGATTACCAAGTGACAAGTGTGTTTAAGCCATCCACGTAAGTGTTTTGAGAAAGTATTAAAACACCTAAAATTAATTCTCATGGGTACCGTTTCACAGGACATCAGCTTGAACTCTTCATAAAGCGCATTTTGATTAACATGGTAGTATTATTTCCCATCGCATGACACATTTGATTCACATAACAGTATAGAGACCAGTAATTACGTATTGAGCTGGATTACGATTGCTTAGTAATAAGATTAACGTCAGTTTTCTGATTAACGAGATTTTTATGACAAAAGGTTTCCCTTGATAATAGTTGTGAGATAGGTGTTATTCCTATAATACTAAAAGTCAACAAGTGAGTCTCTCAGTAGATCAACCTTTGAAAAGTCAGATAGTGAGAGCGTTCTCTCTTAACGGATATCTATGACAACGTCAAATAAATATGGGAAATTTTTTGGACAAAGATCATGAACCGATTAATGGTTTCTCATACCGTCGAAGGATATTTCTTCTTGTGGGACCTGAAAAGGTAGCTGAGTTAGTGGTGGTCTTAGTGACCTCGGAGAGCGAGCGCAGACATCAATGTACAACTGCCTGAGGTCGGTCGTGCTCTACATTTTTGTGGCCTCCATACTGCCCTGGTACGGCCGAGGGTGGGGAGAGTCAGCTCTCCCTCTCGAAATGCTCTCACATGGCCACGCGTATATAGCTTCTGCCAGGGCAGTCCTACTCACTGCCTTCTCGTGGCGGGGGTGTTGTTCACGAAATTGAAAGGACGAAGAGCGAATGTCCGGCGCTTTAACCGGGCTGGTGGACACCGTGAGTTCACCTAGGGGAGTTGGTAAACCCTGATTCCAAACCAATGGTGCACATGGGCCCCAGTATAATAAAGGAACACATGGCGTATGAACCAATCGTTGGTCACCGGCTACCATGGGACTGTATCTTTTGACGTTGGTTCACTGCCTTGTGGGTCAGACGTTTAGGTCAAAGGCTCGTGGTGTGGCCCCCTAAGAAAACCACCAGCTTCGGTCTGGACACCTGGGAAGTATCACAGCCCAAACACAAATAAAATGAAATGAAATGACGCTTTTTGTGGTTAGTTTTTGTTATGTTAGCTCTACAATTTAAAAGGCCTTACTACCGTAGATGAACATCCGTGGCGAGATGGCATCACTACAGACACTGGTTGTTTGAGGGAAAACCCTTGCTGTTGTCACACCCGCTACAGCCACCAATGGGACTTCGCACTCGAACCTTAAGTTACTGCCTTTAACCGACCTGCACGGCATGGTGGATCTTGAAGGAATATGTGTTCCAGCTAATAAATCTTAGTTGATTCATCATTATGGGCAAGGCTGACCATTAAATCAAGGTACCAGCTGCGGTCAAGATATTTGTATATATATTTATTCATGCTACAAGAAAAATCTTTATACGAAATCCTTCATATAAATTCGTCGGTGCTTTATTTCTAATTAGTAAAGTATGTCTGTATTTCGTGGATGGATCATTTCCTCTAAAGTTTAGGTGGTTTTTTACACTGGTTTAAGCCCACCGGTATCATTGTTAACATATTTATAGAAGTGATCGCTATCTGATTTAGATAGATAATATTTAGGTTCGCTTCTGTGAAAGAAGAGTGGGTTTGATATGGATAGATAATCGTTTTTAATTGTGAATACCTTCCTCCTATACAGAATGCTAACTGATTCGTTTACTGGAATGAGTCTGGAAGTAAGAACATAGAGTATGTACCCACTCTTTGTATAACATTACTTAGAGATTTCAAACCTGATGTTCAGTTATCAAGTCCGCTTTCAATTCAACCATTTGTTTGTTAGTAGTTTTAGCTGTTACCCTGAAAGTAGTCATATTTGTGACGAATTTATTTATGTAGTTTCTGAGCCCCAATATTTTTACGACGTAACTAGAGTCCAACCACATATTCTCATTAAAATGATTTTTCCTATTTTAAATAAGAATCCTGGATGAATGAAAACCATCCACCTGAAAAAACAAAGTTTCAAAGATTTGTACCGTCCTTTTTGGCCGAAATATCAAATTTATTAGCTCAAGTTCAACGCTTATTACAACCTATGCTGTCAGCCTATGGTTCAGTGTCATCTGTGGCTGGATTATCTCGAGAATTGGATTCCATTCATTCAGTCCTTGCAGATCGTTTGACTAAGGAACTCAAACTGTTACTAGCAGTATGTAGATATATTTCCAAATCGTTATTTTTTGTTCTTTTCTTAATGAAAAAGTGTTGTAAGAAATATATAGACGTTCTGAGTTGAACCAGTTTATGTTAGGATCCATATTTTTTTATGAAATACTATATAACAAAATGCATCTTTGTGTGCTGAAACTTTTTGATAATCATTTTGTACTGGTCGTTTTTATGGAATTATATTGTTCAGTCAATATTCTTGTAATAATGTGACACATTTACGGAGTTTCATGAGGGCTGGCGATACTACAATAATACTCAAATAGTAGTGTTGCGTGGTTAGAATATGCAAGCCGTGCTTTAACCGCTGTGCCATTTCTCTGTCCACATTCTTATACTCCTCATGAGCTTTCTATTGTCTGGTCTTGTCGGAAGGTTCCTTTTTCAATGTGTACACTACATTTCTCAGGTTGGATTCATCTTTCAAACATTACTCAAGTAAAACAATCATTATCTAAGCTTATAGAAATGCATTTTTCTCTTTTTTCAGCTAACTCAAAGATATTCGTTTAAATAGTGATATTAATCCCAAATTCTTAGTTTTCCTAACAATGCTCAGTGAAGGTTAGTTTGTGCTTAAGTTCTAAATGAAAATACAGAATCCATACTTCCACTTATTAACTACTGTATACCTAAACAACCGAAATTAGTTCATTTTGTACGGTTCGGGTTGACTGGTGAGCTATGTTTTTCTGATAATTCTATGACCTTATTAGGTACTCTTTTTTGTAATTGGTTACATTATTGTCCTCTCAGTTAGGAAGATCAGATTTTTTTTTACCGAATATCCAAACTTCTGTAACGAATTCCTCACTGCGGGCTGGTTATTGGTACTTTTATTTGTCATTCTTTTATACTACAACCAGTAGCATATGATTTTCTGAATTATACGTATATATCGTCGCGATAATCTGGAAAGGGGTTCACAAATCAGTATTAATTTTGAAACAGTCATACGTTTCTTAAAGTTTGCATTTTCTGGCTGGTCTACGTTTCTCATGAGTTTGACAAATAGTTCTGCGAAAATCGCTAATGTATTTCACGTTAAATTTGCCTATCAGAGTCAGCTGGATTCATAGAAGCTTAGTTGCTGACTCACTGAAATTACCACTTCATTTCTGTGTTTTTATCAAATAACTTGATGCAGCTAAAGTCATGATTTCTATAGCAAATGTACTTATCATCATGCTCTTATATATGTTAACATAAATTTATCTTTTTATCGACCAACATCTTTTTATATATATAATCTCCTATATTGGTAACCAGTTTGCTAACTCATTTCTCTTTGTTTTCCTAATACTAGGCTACTCGAACAGTTACAGATAACAAGGAACTGATTTTATCAGCCTGTGAACTAGTTGACTTACTCCCTAAGAGTTTTCATCTCGATTCGGATATTGTAAATTGGTTTATCTCTCATCATCTAACTGAGTATAAGGAGCTATTCGATCCAACACAGACTACTGCTTGGTTGGATAAAATCGATCAGCGATACAACTGGTTAAGAATTAATTTGGTCCCCTTAGAACGTTTATTTATTTCAGTGTTTCCTCCCTCTTGGCTGGTGACTGAAAGGTAAGTTCAAATATATAGTCACCTTAGGATTAGTGTAGTACTTTATCAATGGTTATCTAAATTTATTTCGTTAAGTTTGGTAGCATAGATGTATCTTGGTATCATTACCAAGGTTTGAATTGACGATTTCGAATAAACTGTGCATTAGCTAGTTCTCAGTAATAAGAGTAATGATGGATTTGTAATAATTCAGTGAGTAGAAAATTAAATGTCCGACGTTTCGTGACTAAGGTGAAGTCGCTTGTTCAGAGAGTAAGTAAATAAATATATTAAATTTATGCAAGTTTAAATAGCACAAAGGAACTACAAAAATGTTTCCTACGATCAAAAACGTCAGAAATTTAATTTTCTACTCATTGTGTTATTACGAATATATTACCATTTTTACAATATATGTATGCAATTCCTTAAAATGATTATCGAGGTTTGAAACAAAATCAAAGTCAGACCTCAGTATTATGAGTTCCGAGAAATGGGTCACTTTTAAAATCACTGAAATCCAATCTTCCTGATAGTCATGCTAGAATCAGTTGAAAGATAGTGGTGGAGAATAAGTTAAGCTAAGTGGATTATTTAATATATTATAACAGTTTGTGCTCTACTATTAGGAGACTATCACTGAAATTTTGGTAAACAACAAATTTTAATTAGGGAAACAAGGTTCTGAAAACAAAGTTCATAGCATTAGATACTGACTACATATGTTAACCCCTTTATCTAGATGTAAGTTACCACCAATACAGGATTTATTTTGCGGTTGTTTTTCGGTAGGGTCAAAAATCACTTCTGTTCTTTTTCATGGTTGCTGCACCAGGTAAGTCACTCCGCTTTGCCATTTGGAAGGTGGAAAAGTACAGTTGGTATTTTTAAATTTTGATTATCATAAAACTTCTGAAAAGGGTGAGCGCCATATTGTTAGCTGTACACTCTAATTAATAACTTAACTACTGGTGACTTTTTACTAATCTATATTCAATCACACTAGTGTAACTAGTGTAACATTATATATTCCACTAGGCTTGATCAACATCTACTGATCAAGTCCAAAAAATAACTATTTAATTGGCTTGGGATTAAAATGCACAGTATTTGATGTTGAATGATTAGGGGGTATCATCAAGCGGCTGTGGAGTTAGGTTTCAAGCCTGTCGGTGTTAATCAGAGAGGTCTATCTGGGGCCTCGATGAAATTCATATTCTTTTAAATTTAAGTCTGTATCATTTCTCTAGATCATTATACTCCCAAGATCACCAAAATATTGTCCTAAAGTACATTTCTATATATTTTTAACCTATCTTCATTTTAACGCCGTATATTTATACATTTTCTCACAAAACAAATATACATAAGGGTATACTTAACACGGCCTACACAAATTGTATTTCCGTGTTAACTATGGTTGATACCTAAGTTTGAAAACTTGTTTATTGCCATATATACTGTACTCATTCAACTATTCCCGAAAACTTTTCATAATGATTTATGTTAACTATTTAGATTTGTTTTGGAGTTTTGTCATATTACACGTGGTGGCTTAGAAACTGTTATGAAACGACGTCAGTCGGAACTTACCCATAATCTTATTGTTTTCGCATTGCAACGCACCTTATCCTTCGAGGCCAGTTTGAATAAAGCATATACGTCTGAAGCGCTAGAAGAATTACAATCTATGATAGTTAGCGGTAAGAGTATGGAGCGTTCATCTAATCCATTTGATGATAATGAGGATGAGGAAGATGGTTTAGATGATGCACAATCTAAAAGTCCTGCAGAGGCTAAGGATGATTCATCAACAAATGATTCTAAACACAATTGGAAAAAGCAAATTTTTGATGGAATTATATCTGGGTAAGTAAGTATAAATCTTATTAGTCCATAATTTTGTGTAGTTAAATACTGTTCAGGTTACTGGGAAAATCCTCAAAATATTGACTCGTCGAATATTTAACTTTAATTGTGAAATAAATGTACTGTATTGTTTTAGCTTCGTTTCATCGTTGGTGTGATGTATATTTGTAGGATTTTCCATATCATTACTTTATGAGTGTCATTTCACTAGTTATAGGTTGAGATTATATAATGACCATCGTGTGTTAAAAAGCTCAAATTCCTAGTTTATAAGATCAACGTTTTCAGAACTGTTATAGTGAATCATTCAATATTTCCATGGTAAGTAAAGTTAAGAGTCTCTCTCCAACAAACTGGTTGCTAGGTGGGTATTTAGTTTCACTTCATTTTAGGTGGGTACATTCGTTATAAATAACTCACTGGCTTTCATATAAGTGTGAACATAAACACTTTAAGTGTTGTGGTGTTAATGGATCTAGAACTATTTAGAAGCAAGTTGCTGCCATTTTCAAAGCGCTACAGATGAACCTCCACTTTAATGAAAAAAAAAACACGTATACACTGTGATATTCAACATGGATATTCAAGTGCCTAGTTGGTACTATAATGTTGTAAATGGTTGTGCAAAAGAACTCATCGGCGAAATAAGTTATGCGTCATATTTGTAACTTAAGAGTTGGTAATATCTATAATGAGAAAAAGTGGGTTGTTTTCTTTTTCTAGTATTTATTTAAAATGAACACTGTCTTCAAAGTACATTGATATCTTTTTATAAATACCTGATTGAATGAGTTTACCTTATAACATTTAGTAATTTGGCACCACTAATAAGCCAATGTTTCATCTCTTATTTAAACACAAGACGAAATTAGTAAATTCAAACCAACATTAATCACTTAATCATGTGCACTGGTTGACGTTTTTCCTCTGTTATTACATCAACCATAATATTGTACATCATTACCTATCCTTTAATAGTTTATTAGTGTTGTTGAAGGATTAACCAGTCAGTTTTATTTCAGAAAACAACACCTTGGCGTTGTGAATATCATTGTGTCTGAGTTTATTTCCGATCAATGATATATTGTAATCCTGAGGGTTGCATAATATAGATAATATTGTCCCATTATGTATTTTTTTGCCTAATCACTTTATGCATTTCTTTCCTTCCTTTCTTCTTTTTCGCCATCTTTTCTACTTCTTTACATCATTCTTTTTGTCATCATTATTATTGTCAGAAAGAAGTTAGGGAAGTTGTTGGATCTCATTGAAATCACGGGCCAATGGAACTTAAACCACCATTGAAAACCTTGAAGCACTGGACGATCGTCTCGTCCTAGCATGGGACTCTCCATCAGTGAGCATCCACGACCCCGCATGCGAGAACCGAACCCAAAACCTCCGGTCTCGCGCGCGAACGTTAGATGTTGAAGGTTTGTGTGTGAGATCGAAGGTCCTGGGTTCGACTCGCGCGTGCGTAGTCGTGGATGCTCACTGCTAGGGAGTCCCGTGCTAGGACGAGGCGACCGTCCAGTGCTTCCAGTTTTTCAATGGTGGTCTAACGTCCACTGGCTTGTGACTTCAATGAGATTCAACAACCTCTGTAACTGCTTTGTGACAGTAATAATAATGACATGAAGAGTGATGTACGAAGATTTCATATCAGTTCTGTATGAATTATTGTTCATAATTATTTTCAGCTGTTTCGACCAATTCTTTGACCTCTATTTGGTTCATTTGGATAAAGGTCTGAGAGAACAAATGACAAATCGTTTGATTGGTGATTTCACTGTTAATAAATCAAGTTTTGAGAACAGGGATCTTGGAGATGTATTCAGAGATGGTAACATGTTACAAATTGGTGAAATATTACTCATATTTGTCTATTTTGTTATTAAGTTGTATGGATAGTTTTTTTGAAATGCTTGCATATTCTCTGCAACTTAATTTCGAAATTTTCACTTCAAAAGGTAGGTCATAGTAGGTCTATCAAAGATAGAGCATTTTCTCGTATCTGTGTATATAGTTAAATGCCCCCGAATGCCCTAGTACGGCCGAGGGTCGGGAGAGTCAGCTCTGCCTCTCGAAATGCCCTCACATGGCCACGCGTATATAGCTTCTGCCAGGGCAGTCCTACTCACTGCCTTCTCGTGGCGGGGGTGTTGTTCACGAAATTGAAAGGACGAAGAGCGAATGTCCGGCGCTTTAACCGGGCTGGTGGACACCGTGAGTTCACCTAGGGGAGTTGGTAAACCCTGATTCCAAACCAATGGTGCACATGGGCCCCAGTATAATAAAGGAACACATGGCGTATGAACCAATCGTTGGTCACCGGCTACCATGGGACTGTATCTTTTGACGTTGGTTCACTGCCTTGTGGGTCAGACGTTTAGGTCAAAGGCTCGTGGTGTGGCCCCCTAAGAAAACCACCAGCTTCGGTCTGGACACCTGGGAAGTATCACAGCCCTCACACATATCAAATGAGATCTGTGTGGCGCATATATATTTGGTACCTCCTTGTACCAATATCTATGTGTTAAAATGAAATAATAATAAACATAGTTAAATTCACAGGTACATAACAAATAATAACTTAAGCTACTTTTTTACACTATCATTTTAGTAACACGTCTTCTGAATCTAACACTATCAATAGACAATAATTTCGTTTGTTAGAAGTGTGATATTTAAGTAAAAAAATACTACTAGTGTACCTGCCTTTAAATTTTTCCCGCTATTTATTTGAAAGCGAAAATGTACATTCATTTGATTAAATCGTAACGGTTATTCGGCTGTAATTTCCAACTCTGACATCGCTAGTCAGAGTGATATGATCTGACTTTTATCGCAGTGTTGGTGTTTTTATTATTGATATCCACGCTCAGATACATCCAATTTTTATTACTTTTGACTAGGAAGGAAATAGAAGTACCCACATATTCATCATACTAAACATAATTACTAGTTATTTCAGATTAATGTAGTTCAGTTTGGTGCTTGTGCTCCAGTTTTGAAGAGTACACTATTCAAAAGGTAAACACCTGTGGAAACTCTATTATGAAACAGTAAATTTATCCAGTTGACAGGAAAAAATATGTCAGTACATCCATGTATTGCCATTAATGTAGCTATTATTCGTCAAGATCCTGTAAAACACATCGCATATACCATTTGGCACACTTGTCTTTTTGTGCAAATTAGTCCAACTGATTTCTCGATGGTTATCACGAGACGGTTTCTATCCTTTTTTATAAACTGGAGCGTTCAGTGTCTGAGATCAGTTATGTGGCATTAATTCCATTTTCCAGACCTTAACTAAGATCTCAGTCAATCTAATTTCTAAAACTTAATTATTATCCTCAAAGATCTTCAGATTTAGTCCATCTGATTGCGGTGCTGTGCGTTTCTCCAGATTAGCTATAACCTTTTAAACTTCAATAATAGTCTGGGGACTTGTTTTAATCTCTAGTTCCGATTATTTTGGAATAGTAGATAACTCGGGTAGTTCTGGATATTTTGTCTGTGTCGCCTTTGTTGTGTCCTCGGTCTTACTGTTTATATTTGGAAAAAGTGAGCCCTGTGAATTCCCGTGACGCGAAGTAAGAACACGAAAGACTGGTGCAATGAAGATTTATCAACTCTATAAAAAAGTTCAAAAAACATCCTTATTAGACCAAAATATACTCATTTATATACTGATTTCTACACACGGTAGGGAAAATAAGTAGAGTTACTGCGAAAGCATACATACTAAGTGTAGTTCACCTGAATTGATGCAGGAAGTATAAATGTCATATTAGACGACAGTCCACATCTACCATATTTAGCTGAGCTCATACTGAATTGGTACAGGAAATATTGACCTAAATTGATGTCACTTTTTTGTCCCATCTGAAAAGTCTGTTATTACTTATCGCCTCTCTCACCTATTTGGCTTTCGCTGCCAACCACTCCTCACGATCATTTGGTAGACATTTTGTCCGTCTACGTCTAAGTTACCTTTGCCCCTAATCGTGTTCGGAGCCTGATGGGGATGAGTTTCTGAACATGTACCAATTCAGTAGGTGTCACTGAAATCCACTGATTTAGCATAATAGAAGTTTAATTCACACTGTTATTCTTCTATTTCCGAAAATCACTGTTCAATATTTTAAAGCTTTTTTTCATCCTAATGGACCCATTAGGATGGAAAATAGCTGAGCGAAGTGGAAGAAAAATGGTACACCTAATGATAACGGATGCACACTACAGGATCCGCAAATACCAACACGTCATAGAGGACTAAAAGATGAAGCTACAAAGGAAACTCACGTCAGACCATTTGGAAATCTTGACAACAGCCATCGAGATATCATGCAAACGACACAGAACAAGGAAAAAACACTAAAGAAAAAACTAATCAAGATCTCAAAACACCCATGGAAGAAAACACAAACAACTGCGTGATCAATCTGTCAAAACAACCACTAACAAATACGGATGAACACCTACTCCAAAAAAGGATTAAACTGCAATACAGTCGACGCCTCAAAGCTGGAATTCTTCGCACCACTAGAGTCATCACTCAAAACTTCCGGAATCAGTGAAGAAACACAACAGGAAATAAGACAAACTATAGTACCGCTAACCCAACAGGTGAAGGAAAACAACCAACTGACTCCACAAGAACAAAAGGCTTTGAAGGAACTCAGAAATAAAAAGGATATTGTCATAATACCAGCGTACAAAGGACGCACCACAGTAGTCATGGACAAATAAGAATACGTCAAAAAAGCCGAAGAACTACTTGAAGATAAGAGCACATACAAACTATATTTTAAAGCTCATATAACAACTATCTTGTAACTAGTTAAGATGTGAGGTCGTTTCATCGCTACCACTGTACATTCTAGGCCTTTGAAATAAAACCATCTTACTGATTTAATTACATGTTGCTGAAGATATAAGAAGGGATGTATATGCTAATCAGCCTTTAAAAATAGGTTCCAGTCCCCTTATTTGTTACCATTCTTATTATTATAAGGTTGATAGCTCGATTAATCTGCGGGTTTGTGTATTCAACTTACCTTTTCTTCTTTAAGATTAAACAGGTTTTCCGTTTTCTAATCATATATTCAGAATTTTTTATGTAGATTTCTGCCGTAAAATCTCGGATCATACTTTAACTTGTTTTTGTCTATTGCTTATCTTTCAGACAATCCATTTGACACTGTACAAATCAAACCAAATCCCAATGACCCTGGCGAGAATACTCTATATTCTGCTACAGATTTATTCTTGTTCTATAAACAAATCTTGAAACAAACTCTCCAGTTGAATCGGGGTCATGGTTTGTTAGGACTTGTTCGTCTTTTAAGGCAGTATTTGTCTGAATACACGGTTCGTGTGCTCTTGGCTCAAATTCCAGGCTTAGCGATTACCAATACTAGTGGAACTAACGTTGGCTTATCTGCACCGGATGTTGCAGCGAAAATGGCGGCATTCGGTTTAAGCAGTCTCTCAGCTCTTGGTAAGTTTGTCATATTTCATATTATTACGTAATTGCAAATCATAGGACTTGGTCGTGGTCAAACGGGACTCAGTGCAGCTCTAGAAAATATTAGGACACAAACAAAATATAGTTCTGCGCAATCTGATCTGATAAGTTCATCAAGCAACCAGGTGATTAACAATTTACTTCGTGATGATGTACAGGTAAGCTCTTATTTATCATGGTAATGGTATATTTATGTTTTAAGTTATCCCGTTGTCTAATTGATAGTTTACTACATGGAGTGCTTAGTGTTTATACTTCAAAGAATTGTTTGAGAATAAGATTTTCCGACAAAAATGTCAAGGGATACCTTTGTACTCTCTCTAAGTCAGTCAGTCAGCTACAACGTAGGACCAGGCACATATGTGCATCGGTCCAGGTTGCCATACCGCATCAGCACAACAAGGTGAACACCGGATTCATAGCAGTGGTTAGGTCAAAGGTGGTAATATATAAGAGAAAGATTGCATATAGAGATATAGTACAAGAAGAAAGAATTGGTTCGTAGAAAGAAAGATATGTAGTGACTTTAATCTCTTAGTTTAAGGGAAGACAGGTAGTGTATACACCGACGCCATTGTGATCGATTCTGAGCCATGTCACCAAGAGTCTCAAACCATTGGTTACGATAGTCACGCGGACCCCAAGCAAGTAGTCTGCATCTACCAACATGGCTCAGACTAGAAGTTAGTGACTTCAAGCACTGATGCCACGTTTTGGTTTGGCCACCCCTAACTTTCTTCCAACCAACCCCAACACCAGTCAGCATTGCGTTTTATGTTAATCGGTGTTCAAGCATACGTTCAAGCATACATCGATGAAGATTCATAACCTCATCAACTGATTTACCATCATTTCTTAATACCCTGCGTCTGACCTCACTATTACTTACCCGGTGATCCCAGCAGACGCCAGCAATATTTCTAAGGCATCTGTGGTCAAATACTAATAGCTTACGAGTGTCTTCTACTCTTAATGGTCATGTTTCGCTGCCGTAAAGTAAAACAGAACGGACTGCCGCGCAGTATACTCGTCCTTTTATTGATAGACGGATATCTCGCCTTCGCCATAGGTGATGCAAGTTGGCAAAAGCCAATCGAGCTTTTCGAATCCGTGCTGAGATTTCGTCAGACACCAACCCATTAGGGCTGATCAGGCTTCCAAGATAAGTGAAGTTGTCAACGCGTTCGACTACTTCACTTAATATTCTTAGTTCGGGTGTTGATGCAGACCAGTCCTGAAGCAACAGTTTACATCTAAAGGGAGAGAAACGCATCCCAAACATTCTGGCATTGTTGCTTAGTGCTATCAAAACTCCGCATTTTACCAGCGTCTTCACCAAACAGGACTATGTCATCTGCGTATTCTAAGTCGATAAGTGGACCTCCTGGATGGAGATCAATACCCGAGAACTCAGTCGACGAGAAAGTTATTTCCATCAGTAGATCTATGATGAAGTTAAACAAAAATGGGGAAAGTGGACAGCCTTGACGGACACCACTTGAGGTTGCAAAAGTAGATGACAGCTCGCCATAAGCTTTGACTCGACTAGTAGTGTTCAAGTAAAGAACCTTCACAAGGTTTATGTACTTCTGAGGTACGATTTTCAATGACAGACACTGCCACAGAATCTCGCGGTCTACCGAGTCAAATGCTGCTTTTAAGTCGAGAAAGACCACCATTGTCGGACGCCGATAAGTATGCCTGTGTTCTAGAATCTGACGAATGGTGAATATGTGGTGGATACAGCCACGACCAGGTCTGAAGCCAGCTTGAGTCTCTCGTGTTTGCAGTTCACGAGTCTTAGTTAGGTGTCTGATAATTATCGAGGCTAGTATTTTAGATATTATATTAGTTAAACTAATCCCTCTGTGGTTGTCGCAGGATGATTTTGACCCTTATATATTGGGACGATAAGTGATTGTGACCAGTCATATGGAATAACGCCTAGCTCCCAGATATTAGCTAAAATATTAAGATCAGCTGCGCATCCTCGTTTCAGATTAACTATAGCCTTTGGAACTTCAGCTAGAGTTGGGGGACCTACTTCAATGTTCCATTTACACTGTCTGGGAATGGAGGGTAGTTGTAGAGTAGCTGAAGGCCAGTTGAACTGTTCTCTGAAATGTTCCGCCCATCGTTCTAAACGTCTGGACTGGGAGCAGATGAGAGTATCGTCTTTTTCCGAAATAATCTCACTTACACTTGACTTATTAATTCCAGTTTCTTTTATTAGTCTGTAAAGCTGTCTTGTGTTCCATCTCTTTTGCTTTCATTGCCCACCACTGCTCACGGTCGTTTCTTAGACTTTTTCTTAACCTAGATCTGATTTGTTGTCGCTCTTCATCATGTTCGGAATCTGATGGGATGAGTTTGCGAGAATCCATCAGTGTGATAGACTTTGAAGAAATCCACTGGTTCTTTGTAACTCTGTGGTTTAAGTCGCTAATAGATGTCACTGCTGTTTCCACAGCTGCTTGTATGTCTTTCCAAGCAACATCTGGGTCAGCCTCGTCTTCAGAAGTAACTAATTGTGAACTCAGTTGTTCCTGGAACCTACTTTTGGTTTTCTCGTTACTCAATTCAGTCCTAATGGATTTTTTTAATGTGGCTTTTTTGCGTCCAATGAGGCGCAAGCAGATGTGTGCCCGTATTAGGGCGTGGTCGGAGTCCAAGCAGGTACTCCAGAATGAGCGACAATCTTCTACCGACTGTCTCCAACGATGACTGATGGCAATATGGTCTATTTGAGTCCATCGTTGGTTTGGTGTAGGGGGTCGCCATGTTAGACGATGTCTCTTCTTATGCTTAAAATTTGTGTTTGCTAAAAATAAGCGATTGTCTGAGCATAGTCGCAGCAGACGGTCACCATTATCTGTTCGCTGTGCCGGAATGCTAAAATATCCACCTAAATGCCTTTCTGTTTGGTTTAAGCTACCTATCTGAGCATTAAAGTCACCTGCTACGAGTACTATGTCTGAGCGTTTACCTTTCTGAAGAAGTTCGGACAGCTTTCTGTAAAATTCATCTTTCACATCACCTGAGCTGCAGTCAGTGGGAGCGTAGGCAGAAACGACGAAAAGGCAACGACGTGCGTCCCTATCCTTCCGAGTTCTTACGGAGCCGTTTAGCCGAACAGCACATAGACGACTGTTGACGGGGATCCACTCTAACAGTGCTTGTTCCGCCTTCATGCTTAGTGCTATGCCTACACCTGCCAGTCCATGAGAACTGGCCTTTTCGTGGGAGGTTTTTGACGTGTTAGCTCCGTTTTTCAAAGGGCCTTACCGCCGGAGACGGAAATCCGTGAGGTAAGGTGAGGTGTGCATTTTAAGGGTCGACCTTTTCTAACCCCACCCCTCCTTGTGGGAAGGCAGCATCGCTGTCATGCTGCTTGTCTGAAGGAAACACTTTACTGCTGTCACACCTATGTACAGTCAGCAGTACGACTTCGCCTTCGGACCTTGGGTTTGTTGCTTTTAGTCTTACCGCTCTTCAACCGACCTGTCTGACATGGTAGGACCTTGAGGAACGGTTGTTCCAGTCAGTATAGCTCGGTTGCTTCATCACGATAGGCAAGCCCGACCACCACATCAAGGTAGCAACAACGGTCGGGACTCTCTCTAAGTGATGGATGATAGATAAAACTTTTTATTGAATTTCAACTTAAATAGATACTAAATTATCGATCGAGTTACCTTATTACATTTTATAAGTAAAATAGTGGTGACTAATGTAAATGGTGAACCTGAAGGAAACCCTACAACAAAGTGAATGGCTCAACAATTTCACAAGGAATTACACGTTTACCTTGAGAGTAAATAGAAGTAATCACTAAGCAAGAAATCCCGTTATTAAAGATCAAATTTTCAAGGTGTCATAGCTAGCGGAGCTGTAATACACTAACTGAGTATATCCATTAAAATGACGGTTCATTCAGTGAATCTGGATGAACCTTGACAATACGAATAAAAGATAAGTTATCGATACTGGGTTATGCGGCGCATTTATATCATTTTAATTGCTGTGTGCTTGTATATGTCTGTACCCGCTTCCCTGAAATGTTTATTATTAGGGTGTTACTATGTAGTTCATTCTAAATGAGATTTTGATCTATTAGTTACTTTGAATTTCCTAAAAATATCGTTTTAGCTCCGGTTTCTTAATCCGGATGGCTATTGCTTCAACCGTTTGAAGGACTTTGAGTGTGACAGGCTTTGGAAAAAAAATTACTGAACCGATAAATAATTGAAAAGGATTAGTTTGTACCGGCACTATAACCAGTTTGCACTAAATGAGCCAATAACGAACTGTTCACTTTCTTCGCTAAATCTTTGCTTAGCCACGCTGGGAAGTGTTTACGAGCACGAAAATGTAAATTCCTAGAATTTCGACCAATATGACTTTCTCTACAAGGGCAGTCAAACTGATAAATACAAAATGAGATGGTGATTCTAGGTAATTCATCTTTTAGACTCAGTGTAACCATTGGGTGTGTAGAAAACACTAATCGTAGTTCTCCGGCGTCGAATGATTTTTGGATTGTTCTGCGTAATCTCTGAATTAATAGTACGTTAGCAGCATCCCCTCTAAATTGTAGGTGCATGAACAGGGATTTCTTATTCGCCGTTTGTATTCCGCCTATTCTAACCTTCGTGATCATATATTTATTTATAAAATCTCCAGAGTATCCGTCTTCCCTAAGAGTATTACTCAAGACGCTTAGCTCTTCAACTATATCCGTAGAACGTATAGTACGTATTCAGTAAGTAAGAGTTTCAATCAGGTTTCTTTTATACATTAGAGGTACAAAGCTAAGGAAATGTATGTACTGCCCTGTACAGTTATTTTATGTTTAAATTCCTTCTTATCGGCCCATTAGCTCCCTTGGTTAAGAGAACGTCCAGAAAGGCTAATTCACCTTCTTGAGATGTACACCTAATGGCTGAAGGTACTTCATTACATTGCCCAAGAATCTCTTGTTGTGATGTACTATTTTTACAAAGGATGAACGTCATCATCTGTATATCGACAGTAAAATGTGAATTTTTGAATAGTCTTTTTGAGTGAATCATTTTCTAGTTTGGTTAGAAAAATGTCAGCTAGTATAGAGCCCATCGCGACTCCATCCATTTTTCTATAGATTTCTCCGTTGAACTTGAAATTCACATTCATGGTGCATTTCAGTAATAACTATTTTGCGACATTGAATGAAATTGTAGTTTCGATTTCATTCCCTCTAAGTTGTTCACATATATATTCTCCAGTATCCATGAGTGGAGCATTTGTAAATAATGATGTCATATCCAAAGACATCATCTTTTGTTCCATAGTATTTGCATTTTTGATCTTATCAACAAATCTGAATACATCCTTAACACTGTTTTACAAGTACAAAAGAAATATCTTCAACTGCTTCTCCTCCCTTGACCAACCCCATGGCCAATTACTCAATAGTAACCTTAGCTATGAAATTGCCTAATTTGACTACTGTACATACAACCTTTCTTAATCAAATATAATTGTAATATTATCAGAATGGGTTTTGTGGAGATTTTTAGAAATTTCACTGGTTGAAATCATGAGTCAATTGAAGCTAGACCACCATGGAAAACCTGGAAGCACTGGACGGCCGTTTCGTCCTGGTATGGGACTCCTCAGCAGTGCGCATCCACGATCCCGCACCCCGCGATATTCGAACCCAGGACCTACTGGTTTCGCGCGTGAGCACTTAACCATCCCGCGGGGTGCGGGATCGTGGATGCGCACTGCTGAGGAGTCCCATACCAGGACGAAACGGCCGTCCAGTGCTTCCAGGTTTTCCATGGTGGTCTAGCTTCAATTGACTCATGATTTCAACCAGATATAATTGTAATAGTTGACTTCATTGGTCGATGTAAGCTAGACCACCATTGAAAATCTGGAAGCACCGGACGGCCATTTCGTCTTAGTATGGAACTTCTCAACAGTGTGCACTACAATCTCCACAATAACCCTCATTCTGATCATAAAAATATGATTGTCTCTATTATCCTTATTCACATATTCTTGTATTGCTGTTATTATTGGCTTAACATCATTGATCTTCCGAATACGTGATTCGTTTACTTCGCATTCATTCCACTTTATTATGTCTTACTAATTTTTTTACACATTATAGTCTTCCACTAAACATTTGATTGAATTTGTAATTGCGCTGTTATTTCTGTCACCCTATCTGACCCATATTTATTCTGATCATGGATCTTAAAATTTCACTTAACATATAAGCTGATTAAAGTTAACATTCTGTATGAGCCGTATCAACATTAACAATCCTATGTTGTTTAACAATCCTAAATTCACATGCTATAACTTTAAACGGTGCACTTTGTCCTAAACGTGGCCACTTTTCGGATTATTAATTTTAATATATAATTGTAGAACCTGGAAATAATTTATCAATGAGAATATTCTTTATTCATGTATTAGTCTTTTAAAAAAATATTTGTATACTCTGTAAGTTCGTCCTTCGTCTTAATTTTAGTTGCACCATAAATCTTCACAGATAATTTACGAGCAAGATCATATTACTACTACTAATAATACGTGCTTAATATTTTTATTCATCAGGGAGTTCGACTGAGTAAGGATGATGTCTACAAGGTGTGTGTCATACTCGTTACAGCAGCATTTTGTCTGAAGACTGTTGAAGATTTAGAAAAGCGTCTAAAACATGAAGTAAGTTATAATCAGTTTTTCTTTTTGTATAAAGAAACCATGTTTATATCATTCAGTCTGCTAATTTTTTGAAACTATACCAGAAATATTATTATCGTTGTGTATTATATAGATGAAATTAAACTTTTTTAATCAAACGTGCTAAAAGGTACTATCATTTTAAATGAATTTCCAATTCTCATAAAATATGTGGTCATAAATCTCTCCAGGCTTTAAGATCATAAATGGTATCCCATATGTTTCGTCCCACCCACTTTTGTTTGGGCAACTAAAAAGAACCGATTGCGTAACAGATACGCTTTCACTCAAAGTATATGAATCTATTAATGTAAGTCCATGTTTAATGCATAAGCAACCCTCAGCTAGCTAGGTTTTCAGTTATATCATTGTGACTAATGGTTTCTTGCTTAATGATTAGAACTTTCAGTTGAAAATATAGACGAAATTGAAAACCTTAGGATAATATACTAATGAATAATCTTCAGTTTTCTTTGATTGCATTTTTAGATAACGTAAAATCGGTGGGATCATTTCAGCTATTCATTGAAGGTAGAATATTCGTTTGTTGATCCCACCCTATCATTACGTTATGAACTTGTGAGGATACTTCTCCCATTTTGAAATTTCGGATCCCCTTTTAACCTTGTTTAGTGCTACTTACCTTATTTTAAAAGTTTTCTCAGATGAGCTAACTTAGTGTTCGGATTCTTTCGTTTGAAGTAGTTCATGAAGCTTTCTGTTTTACACTTGATTTTTGCATCGTGGGGTTTTTCATAGTTCATTGAGTGTACTCTGTATGTTGTTAGATTTCTAATTATAAGAATAGGTGATAAACAGTTGTTTGCAATTTATTTACTAGGCGATTATTGTCCTATTTCAATTTCATATGAGTAATAGTCGTGTTTATCAATTTCGACGTTTTATTTGTTATATGAAATTCATTTGTTTACTGATTTTTATATTAGATCAGACCACCTAGCTGGAGTTCAAAAATATCATTTGCTTCTGAACTTGATGGTTTAGCAACTTGTAGATCTGTTTGTGTCCACCGCCTGGTTGCCGACTTGGAAGCTGGTGTTGAACCTCAGCTAGTCGCTATGGCACGTTTACCTTGGAATAATCTTGTACAAGTTGGGGACCAAAGCGCCTATGTTACAGCCATTGTAAATCATCTTCGCACTCAAATTCCACTGATACGAGAAACATTGTACACCGTCAGGTAATTTATTTATTTTCTGTATGTGTTAACAATGTCTTTGTCGTATACAATCGTCTTATATCTTTTTTATGCATTATTAGGCCAGCTTTTACTCAAATATGTATAAAATTTGCTGATGCATTAATTGCGAGATTCGTTAATGCCTTATATCGTTGCAAACCGGTCAATACTTTTGGAGCCGAACAGCTTTTATTGGATACTCAATCGTTAAAGGCTTCTCTTCTTCAAATGCCTCTTCTTGGAGCTAAGGTAAGCTAATATTCTATGTTGTTTTGTTTATGTATGTAATTATGGACTAGGGTACAATACCAACATTCTATTGTCTTACATCAATGGCATAAATGATTTCTTGTGTCTTTTGTCATGCATTATGAATTAACTAACAATGAAGGACTCACCCGACCGTTACTGCTACCTTGATATGGTGGTCGGGCTTGCCTGTCGTAATGAACCAATCGCGCTATATTGGCTGGAACAATCGTTCCTCAAGGTTCAACCATGCCAGGTAGGTCGGTTGGAGAGAGGTAAGACTAAAAGCAGCAAACTCTCGAAGTCACTAACTTCCGGTCTGAGTCATGCTGGTGGATGCAGACTACTTGGTTAGGGTCCGTGCGACTATCGTAACCAATGGTTGGAGACTTTGGGTGACATGGCTCAGAATTGATCACAATGGAGTAGGTGTATACATTGTATGTCTTCCCTTAAACCATGAGATTAGAGCTGCTTTATACCTTCCTTTCTACGAACTAATTCCTTCTTCCTGTTTTATGTCATTACACATAATCTTTCTTTTATATATTACTACCATTGAATTAACTACTATGAATTTGGTGTTCATCTTGTGCTAATGAGGTGTGGCAACTTGAACCTATGCATATATGTGCCTGGTCCTAGGTTGTAGCTGACTGACTGAACTAACCATGAGTCCACTTTCTGATTATCATGTTTTACAAAATAACAGAAGACATTAACTTATAAAGCATCACCTTGTTATTTTCTTATAATTTCGCTCATTTCCGAATACTAACGCCTAACATATAGATATCACGTTCGGTGACTTCTCAAAGTGTAAAAACATCTTATTATTATTTTCATTTTTAGTGGCCAGTGGATCTGACTCTGATTTGGATGAACGTATGTATATACTGTGCATATAAATCTTCTATTTAACTCTGTATAGTACACCTAAGCTAACCCCGTTTGTCTGAATGCGGTAATAAGAAACTAAATATGAGTTAAGCTGGAAAAGGCGTTCAGCAGAGACTTCAAGAAAAACGGCGGTTTATGTGTCATGTGCTGATTGGGTTGCTATCGATTTTGTTATCAATTCCAGCATCTTGTTAGAAGTTTCCGAAATATCAAAGTCACACCCATAAATATTCTAATCTATTGTACCTAAACCAGCCCTGGAAATAGAAATTCATTTCATACTTCCTTTTGTTTGATATTCAAGTGCAGAAGATATTTAGGAGACTAGGAAGCGATTGAGAAGTTAGCTACAATCGTCCTAGTATTAGATATATCAGATACAAGTCGAAAGTATGGGTTTCTTGTCTAACTAATTCACTGATTTGTTTATTGTGATGTATATATCAACACAGTCATTTCATCAATTTTAAATGTCTTACATTTTGTTTAAATCTTTTTACTATTCAATATTAAGATATTTGTATTTGAAAATTATTCTAAAAGCTTTCAATTTACATTATTTATAGTTTACTCAGACACCTCCCCGAAGCTTTACAAATCTAGTTCATGAAGGTATGGGGAAGGCGGAACGTATAATCAAAGCAGTTATGTTACCAGTCGGTGTCGCTACGCCAGGAAAGCAAGAGTCAACAACTCCTCCAAGTGGATTTGTAATGGGTCCAGTTGATACAAATGCAGCTAATGTATTTTTAGCTAGTTACGAACAATTATTACCTGATCTAACTCAAACTGATCTACAAAATGTTTTGGATATGAAAGTAAGCAATAAAATGGACAACTTATCGTTTTCTGAAAATAATCTACATTTGATAAATAATTATATTCCGCAATCATTTACTGTTTTCAAGTAATATTTACAGAAATATCACTGAAATTAATCGTTCACTGTAGTTCCTTAAATCAGTCATATTATGCGCTCCATTGGCGAAGGAACATGACTTAGACCCCTTCGCAAAACCGATATTCAGCAAATACTGAAAATAAATACTACCGATTGGACATTAAACTGATGTGGCTAAATAGATACTTGTCCGTAAGCATTACTGCTGTTAGGTTCGCTTCACTGGTGACATTTTTCAAAACGATCGTGACAGAATGTTAGACGTTTGCAGAACCGACCATTACTTTGCTATTGATTAAAGAATCAACCGAAACATGGGGTGCCCAAACCGAAGCAGGCACCCTCACACAAATCGAATGATTTATGTGGAGCATATCTGTTCGGTGCCTCTATGCATCAATGTCAACGTGTCTAAATAATAATAATAATAATAATAATAATAATAATAATAATAATAATAATAATAATAATAATAATAATAATAATAATAATAATAATAATAAATCATTCATATTACCATAATATAAATTAATTAGAATTCATAATCATGTTTTGATCATGATTTTTATCCATTTTGTCCCATTTAGAATAGTCCAGTCAGTTGAATAGCTTGAATCGACTCATGATCTCAACTATTTAAATTTATAAAAAATAAATTGTTTGCTGTCAGCAGTAATGATGGTTTATTTTTCTTTGTTTATTGTTAGCGACAAAAATTCGAATGTTTAAGATTCTCGATTAAGTCAAGAAAATCATTTATTTTGCTGTATATTTCCTCAAAAATTAAGTCTCTTCCAACTTCCTTATGTATTATTTTAATCTCTTATAATTGCATTAATTTGGTCTATTAGTAGATCTTTTGGCTTCTAAAATGTTGCTGCCTTTGAATTTATAATAATCCAAAAAGTGTAAGAAATTTAATTATTGCAGTCTGTGTCATGCCACGTACCCAAGCTGGTAAACTTTCTAAATTTACACGGTCTGAATCGAATACTGACAACTTTGTAAAGTGTTCCAATGTCGCAGATTGAATATTCTTAGGTTTTTCTATGTGCTTTGTAATAAGTTTAAGTCCTTGTTCAAAAACCAGTTGACTTGGAAAATACAGCACGCTGTTAATTTATTGAAGTACAGTAGGATTTACCTGTAATACATTTAAGATCCTTTATCCGAATACTTGACAAGATCTATATAATTCTCTTCCTTACTGTTTTCTGAAACAAGTGTCGTCGCGAACTTCCCAGTTAAAATCTTTCATTTTATTTGCAAATCAATTAATTAATACTATTGAGTTTTTCTTTTCTTTTAGGGTGTGAAATTCAGTGAACAACAGTTGATTTTAGAAATATTTCGTAGTAGAAATGAATTTAAGTCAGCGATGAAAGAAAAAACACCTGAAGTAACGTTATTTTGTTCTGTTGCAGATACTGCTATCACTGCTAGCACTTTTGTTAGTACTGCAATTAGTAACGTAGCTTTGACAGGGATAACGACAGTTACCGCGACCACCACTGCTCTTACGAGTTCCTTTGTAGCCACATCGAACTCTCCAAATAATCAGCGTCAAAAATCGAAGCAGTCTGTATCGATCTCAATGAATCCATTCGATTCATCTCCACCAGTAGAAGAGCGGGAGCAAATAACAGATAGGAAAGGAAAAGTAGAAAAGTTATTGAATAAAAGACGATAAGACTATTACCAAATTGTAATTTTTGAATGTTAATTTTAATGAATAATTAGTATCTTCATTGTTGCTTTAACTTCGTTTATTTTTTTCTCAACTCGGTCGAGTTTATTCTATTCCTTCTCCATTTTGCTATGTTGAAACTTTCGCTTGTCAAAGTAACTTTTCTGTTGGTGTGTATAATTAACATCTCTCTCTCCATATATATGCATGATTCATTCATACGACTATAATAATATATACTACTATTATTGCCGGTTTAAAAACGTTGTACTTGGATGTTTTTTTGTATCTTACTTCCTTTTATTAATTGTTTTATTACTTACTATCTATATTGTGATAAAATGTTTGTAGGAAACTTTCTCTGTATTTCTGTTTCTGTAACCTTATGGTATGAATTGAAATACCAGTTTGTTTTCTGACAATTTTCTCAAGAATATCATGATACATATCTACTTAGTGCATCAGTTTTTATGGTACTGTTAAATTGGTTACTAATGTTTATTTTACTGTGCTAAATAAAAACCAACATTAAAAGGTGATTTTTGCTGGTCATTCACTTAACCTCATTTTAACCAAGTAATTTAGGTGCGTTTCTCCTTTATTTGCTTAAGTTGTATCAACATTGGTCTATGTGATTGTTCTACTTTGAAATTTTGAGTATCTAGAGCACTGGTTTCTTCACATCTTGTAGAATATTTTCATATGTCCTGGTAAATGTTGTCTAGTTTAATAATAACTAACTGGAAAACTATGAAATCAGGTGACACACCATACTCCTGTTTGAAAAAGGATACTTCGCACGACTAATTCCCTTCGTTTTCACAGGTTATAAGGTGAAATCCGAAATCTCTTAACCAGTATAAAAATGTGCTATGTAGTTGTGTCAATGACCTTTTAAAGTTGTAAAAAAATTATTTGAGGTGGTGATTTCCAGCTGATTTGTATAAGCCATCCTCCAAATCGGTAACAAACAAATAAACATTCATAGTATTTCACGCGTTGGTTTTTTTACCTGTAGATGTCACATTCCATATGTTAATTAGTTGATCGACAGGCAGCTTATTGTAGTCCGATATACTTCTCTTGAGAAGTGTGTTACTTTGGCTTGAATAGTATAACAAGTTTTCGATAATTATACCACTGCACTTGGAGATTTTTAGCTCATCAATTTTATCAACATTATACAAAATAATTTGTCAGTTTGTATCCAGTAGTCTTAATGGACTTTCAATTTATAGATGAGATTAACTAGATGTTCAATCAAATCAGTTAAAATATCAGGATATTGTGTACGTTAAATAAAACCTTAATTATACAACATCAGTAACTCTGAAGTCTATAGAAAAGTAATTTTCATAAGCTCTTGATTAGTGTCTATGGAAACATGTATAATAGGCAGACCCATTTATATACTGTACATAAGCTCACTTTTTCCACTGACTAATGGTTTCTAAATTTCTGCTTACATCCTAAAGCTAAAAAGAGACTACGTGAACTATTTGTGATCAAACAATCGGACGTTTTTTGGTGATAGATTGTTTATTTGTTAAATTTTGAAAGTTATCTTTTCTCAGACATGAGAATTACTGGTTATCAAGTTTGTCGGAGATTAGGCATCATTACTTAAGTTATGTATTTGAGATTACAAATGCTAGAAGTAAGCATAATCCAACTAGAAAAGAAGAAGGAATTTCTATTATTAACAAGTTGGATAATCGAAGCCTTGGAAAACTCAAAGAATTCCCTTATCTATATCTTTACATATCGACTAATACTATATTAGTATATGGAAAACAGTTAGTCCCATGGATGACAAGCCACCTTTGGACCTTGTATTAATTGACCATTAAGCGTGGATGTACGTGCCTAAGGTACCTATTGCGTACAGACACTTGTTTGTCTATTCGCCAAAATCTATAGAGTCCGTATTTGTGGAAAGTTAGGTATTAAAGAAAACATGTCTGTGACAAAATAACCTGATAAATGAATATTTAAGATCAGTTTCGAAGCATAGACGATCAAAAAGTAAATATTAATGAAATTCCCCGACCGTAGCTGCTACCTTGAGACGGTGGTCGGGCTTGCCTATCGTGATGACCCAACCGAGCTATATTGGCTGGAACATATGTTCCTGTAGGTTCTACGTTGTTACTGACTGATTAATGAAATTCATGGAACTATGATTACTTAGTGCTGTGGTATTTCCAGTCATAATTTTAATTTCGTTCACTGATTGAAATATGATTGCTGAATCAGTACCACAGCGTTTATTTTGAAATTTTTACATCTGAACAGCCCCATAATTATTGGCAGACTCCTGCTAAGAAAACTGATGATAGTGATAGTGAGGTTTTTTAAAAGTCAAGTTTGAACACTACATAAGTATAATTTTTTTCATTTGTTATGATGATAGATTATTGCTCAAAGAACCGCACGTCCAACAGATTCTTTGGTATCACTAAAGGTAATGAATTACGTTCTGATCATACATTGTTTCAGTTATCAAATAAACAAGTCATCGTCAAGTATGGGAATATCAAAAAACTTTTTAAGTTTCATTTTTATGAGAAAAATTTGTTTGATGTCTGGTACTTTCACATAAGGAAAATGTTTTATGCAAGTTATGACTTGTTAAAAATGTCACGAAAACATGTCAGTGAGGAAACTGACTGATACTTAGTTTACAGTCAATTTCATATCATACAATACATTGTTTACTAACTGTTCTTGACATCCGATGGTTTGCTGAAGCAAAATAATAAATGCTTGTTATATTCACAAGATGAAATATTGTCAAGATTCTGTTAGTTTTCTCAAACCTACAATCTAAATTAATTCAAAGGAAAGTTCTGATAATTTTCAAGTCAAGTGTAGACTAGGTGAATTTCAGTACAAAGCCATTATTTCACTTAGTATTAAGATTAACAGTTTTTTCCAAATGAATTCAATGTAATTTTTTGTGTTGAATCGGAAAACTTGGAGTTGATGTATAATTGGAATTGGAAGTGATTAATTTACCAAGTTAATAGCAGTATAATAAGACAGAATAAATACCTTCATATTTCTGTTCCTTGTTGTTTCTTCATTTCTAATACACTAACAACAATAAAAGCTTCCCTATTTTTCCTTATCAGAATATTGTCTTCATCATTGTATTGATGGTGTACATACACTAATCTGTACTTATGTAGGGTTGCTGTTAAGCAGTGACTATAAGTAAAACCGTTTTTCTTATAATTTTCTTAGGATTCTTAAATTTTTTAGTGATCTCGAATTGATCGTATTTCTGTTCAAATCAACATTCAAATGTAACCAATAATATTACAGCGTACACAAAACAGTGTGATGACCACTCTGGATAATAAATCAGTATTACTAGGGTAGGTTAAGGGTAAGAACAAATTGTTTTTGAACACAAAGGGGGTTTCAGTTTCCGTATAGCCAAGGCTTCAATAAACCTTAATATACGCCCTTGAAGGCTTTTGTACAACACTACAAATGCTGACTTGATATCAACCTTATAACCAGTCTCAACCAAATGTTTCGCAATGGAGGATGATGTCTGTCTATCCTGTGATCTTATTTGACCATTGGAATTCATTTGTTTTTGCAGCCATTTGGGTATGTGTTTCTCCACCCTTACTTGCAGATCTCGATTGCTCCTCCCACATTGTTTTTGCGTACTTTATTTTTCTTTATTATGGCTTACCTTTAATCTGTCCAGTTGACCTTTTTGTTTTCATATATAAATGTTCTTAACAAGTATATGTGTGATCAGATTGTTCGAAATGTATTGCGCAAATATATCACATAATTCTGATAACCTTCGACTTCTCATTGCATTGTCGAAATTTATCAAGGAGACTAATTGTTTTGAATATTACATCGTGTTGGGCGTTCTAGCTGTATGTGATTTATCTCGGTAGTTTTCGAAAAACTGATTATTCTTCAGTGATATAACAGTGCACTATGATAGACTTATGAAACATTTATTATAATGTTGATACCAGTAGTAGTTTTGTGTTAATGCTTCTGAGTTAAGTATTGGTTAAAAAAACATTCACTTCGTGGAGGCTAACACTGGTAAAATCATACAATTAGATGAATTATGTATTTAAAAGTGAAGCGAAAATCACTAGGAGAATTTCATCTTCTATACTTGGAAATAAACATCAGCTGAATTTATTTCTTCAGAATTTCTACAAGAATGCAGCGAAGAACTTTTCGTTTGTACTTAAACTTCACGTTTCAAATAGTATATAAGTTCTCTTCAGGTACCCACAAAATAACGCTTCTGACCTAAACTTATGAACAATTCATAGACCGCTTATGATCCACCGTGGTTTTTCGAATTGTGCTAAGCATGGAAAATATAGCAAAAGATAGAAAAGCTTGGAATGCGAGTTAATAAGGTAAAGCTTGTTTATTCACTCAATTCTCAATACTCGAACAGTCAAGTCAATAGTATATGTATGATTTGTCGAAACTATACAATTATATTATTTGTTTGGCGTAAATATCGCCAATGATAAACTGTTTGTACAGTAAATTATCACAACAGTTAGAAAAATCGTTTGGAGCAATCCTTAGCATATTATCTATCAGTAAGCTGGAAGATTATTCTTAATTCACTGATGCATTGGATATGTTGAAAATTTCTAGATAATACATTTAGAGTTATTTTTTAATATTTTTCCATAATTTCTTTGTCAGAAGAATATACGAAGCGCTTTCATTAATTAAATGATAGGATAAAACAAGCAGCCTTATTGAACCTATTATATATATATATATATATATATATATTGCGAACCGACTGGTGAATGAATTCAAGCGTACGTATTATTGACACTAGCAGATTTAACACAGAGCTATATCTCAGCTTTTCGGTGGAACATAAATATGACAGCCACTTCAGATTCTTTGGTCTGAAGATGAGGAGAACAGAACTAACTGTCAATTATCTGTACTTAAGTTTAGAGAAATCGTCAAACAGTTCTTTATCTTACAGATGGTGAGTAAACGCCAGTACTTTGGGGAGAACAATTTTCTTGTACCGTAATTCACCTTTTGTGTTCCAGTTTAAAATCGATCAAAGTTAGTCCGAGGTTGTTTTAAACTCTATTTGTCTTTTCATGTACATTTGCCAAAGCTATTATTAAAGAATAACAGAGATTGGTGTTGACTGGGTTTTATGCATATACTTCAAAATATCTAGGATTCAGGTAAATAATGTTCCGATTGGTGAATAGCGATAAGACAGAAACACTGCCAGTCTAAATTAATCAAACGGATTTAACTTTACTTAAACGTTTTTAAACATCTACAATTTGTTTGTTATCTCTATTTTTAACTGTGAAGTAGTATTTTATTCTGCTCGTTTTATGTTTAGGATCCCAATGTACTCACATAATAACTGTCATCATTATTTGTGTTATTACTGATACTGTTTTACTTCTCATCTAAAACTGGATTCTTCTATCAACTGCACATGAGTTTATAAGTTTGTTCAAATAAGGGTTGTACTATCAGCCATATTCAATACACTAAGTTGATTAATTTATTAGTTCACTTTTGAAACGTTTGATTTCAGAATCAGCTTAGCAAATTACTGAAGTAGTTTTTTGTTTGTTTGATTGAAAAATTACATATTTAATATAAAACAAGTAAGGTTTTCGAGAAATCTCATAGACTTAACGGAAAAATCTAGAGCTAGGTTTATTGAATAACCGAATTATCTGCTTGAACAAAGTTTTAACAAGGAAACGCAATCAAGTATAGGATTTCTTAGTCACGGTTCCTAAACAATTCTTCTGTTGAATAAACGTGGGATTTGTACTGAACAGCATATTTATAAAAGATTTTGAAAGTTATTTTATGTACTAAAGATCTGCATACTGATAATCTAGTTAAGGGATACGTTAGAACACTTTTAAATAATAGGAATGAGTGTTTTGTACTAAATTATATTATAGTTGACTCTACTAATGAATATAACTTTACCCATCTTCGTGTTCAAACAGATTTTAGATTGATTATGTCATCCCGACTATGGTTAGCGTTATTTTAAGAGACATTTCATGTTTATCAAATTTAATAGTAATGGTTTATAAAAGGAAGTAAATGCGATGAGTTAGTTTTAACATTTTTATTTCAGCTTAATACTGGTGACCAAAATAGTCACATTTCAGTGAGAAAACATATTAGTATCCAGCTTCCATTAAAATTTCAAAAAATACTGATAGACAAAGCATTATCAGGCACAACTTCATCATTAATATTTAGTGAACTTTTAATAAACTCACTAATGTCGTCACAAAATTTATTTATTTTTTCTTGAAGTTCTGTTTGCTGAATTTTAAGGAAATACAAACACCTCTTAATCTTCTGTTCTCTTGGAGTTTTTGGAGCAAATGAAGAAGGCCTTGAGTTAATGCTTCTTGCCGAATCAAGTTGATCGTTCATATTTGTTGATAGACTTACACGTGGTGGACATGATCTAGATGATTTTATTTGCTGTCGATTTTTTCGACGTTCAACTCGGATTTGATTTTCTAACTCCAGGTAGGATCTAGAAAGAAACCATAATTTTCGTTGAGATGCAGAACCGACAGTTGAAGTCAATCCTAAAATTAATGTAGACCGAGTTGAGTTTGGAGTGGTGGCTGGTCTTCGTCTGATTCGTCTGACTCTCGGGGCGGATAATATCAGTCTAGTTTTTGGGCGTGGTGGAGGTCCTGGATAAAAAAAGAAAAGCATAGATAATAATTTCATCATAAGGTATTATCGTAGGTGAAAGATATATCTTCTTTAAGATTAACACACGATGATTAATTTCATAGTTACAATAAAAGTAATTCAGAGTTATTATATTGTTATTGTTCACTCCATCTGATATACTAAATGTTGATTTAATTGTTTTTAAATATCAATTTTGCTCGCGCTATGATAACAAGGAAATCATTAATTCATATAATTGAGGATGCTAGAAGATTCGAAATAATTCGTGGTAAGTTAACATCTATAGTTTGAAGAAGGCAAAAGGAAAACTACCCTTGTTTGTTGATAAGTTATTGAGAAGGAAAGAATAGCCTCTATTAAAAGATTCTAAGCTGTTCAGACCAACAAAAAGAGTAACGAGGATAAATAAAATTTACCTAAATAATACAACAGGCTCTCTAAATATACAAAAACGAACTTTGAAATTCCTTTTGATTTTTTTTCAGACAATGAATAGTCCTGCTTTTATGTTTTTTCTCTCCACGACGGTCCTTGAGAACTGATTTCTTCGCTTCCTTTTGTTTACCTGATATTTTAATAAAGTTTGTCGGGGATGAGTCGAGATTTGAGTTTATTTTGCTCAGAAAGTTTGGAAACAGTCGATTATGACCTTTGAGCACTTTTTGCCATAATCCCTTATTGGAGTCGACGGCAAACTTCTGAAATTTAATAAGTTATAGATTATAATCAGTGAGTTATTAAACGCGTCTTGGATACATAATTTCTCAATAATAAAGTTGTCCTGGTAGATATAGAAAACGAAAGGAATTCACCAGTAACGTAGACTGATGTCGATCTGTTTTCCATTAAACTGGAACTCATTAGGTATGGTAGCACATGGGAAAACCTCAAATTTTAGTACATAAGGGGAAGGCATCCCCTGATGACTATTGAGGATAGTAGGGTAGTGTCGTGGATTAACTGAAGTTGAACGTATACACCACTGGACCACCGCTGAACAGTCTAGAAGCTGTGTTCGTGAGCGGGACCGAATGTCCTGGGTTCGATTCCTGACAGCGGGGTCATCGATCGACACTTCTGAGGAGTTTTATAGTGGGACAAAACGTCTTCTAGGTTTTCGATGGTTGCTTAACTTAGATAGGCTTGTGATTTCATTGAAAACCTTGAATTGTTTGTAAATATTAAAATAAATGTATCTTTTTCGATGACAAGTGAACTTAATGGCATGGTCAAACTTCACTGGACTATTATCGATAAATAAATTTCTGATTCCAAAATTCTATTTCTACTTTTCAAAGTTAACTAATGAAAATGTTGTCTACAGAATATTAACTCTTGCAAAGATCTTCACCAATAAATTCATTAATCAAACAATGAACAAAAAATATTTACTAGAATAGCAGAAATTGTGAAAATCATACAAATATCTTCATCCACTTATTCTTCTTCTTGTTCGTCGATTGATTAGGCCATAATAATCAGTGATAATGAGATTTAGTTTTGTTTTTACTCGATTACTTACAAAGACGTATTTCAATTAGAATAGAAGTTAATTTTAAATACTACATAGTATATCTCTATACTGATACTGTGTACTTGAATTTAATAGACTTTTATGCATGATCATCTGTAGTGTTTTTATAAAATAATCTGTTCATTTCATAAAAGATAATAACGTTTGTTTTGTCCAATTTTCAAAGTCACTAGATTCTCCTCTTAAAACATAGACGAATGAATATGATATCAAGTTTAGACCACGGTTGTGTTAAGGTTTTTCCTAATGTCATATCATTCAGGTGAAAGGTGACATATATATATATATATATATATATATATATATATATATATATATATAATACGTATGGTAGTGAGTATAAAAATGGTGAGATATTTAGACACCTTAAATATCACTATTTGAAATAAAGGCCCAAGTTGAATGGTTAGTTAGTTCTTCCTTTCTATCGAGAGCAGTAGGGTTTAACAATACATTCATAATTACAAATATTGAAATATATTTCTAATGTTCTCTAGACAGTTTTCGTGTGATCTAATGCCTGACTAGGATAGTTAAACATTTGCCTTAATTTTTATTTAATGAAAAAAGAGAGTCTATGATTGATTCAACCGACAGAATCATTATTCATTCTACCTTTTTATTACTATCTATCCTACATAAATCATTATAGAATCGGTTTAATAAAGGTATTTTTTCCACTCATTTCTAATTAGTGATTTTTGAAACCATACTGGAGGGGGGATGGTAAATAAAAATAGCAGTTCTCCTTTCTATTTCATTGATATTACTATGATTATCTAAATAGTTGTTTTAACATTGAAGCGAAACAATTAATCTGATAGGGAACTTTAAGAAATACCTGCAGATTTCACATTTGGTTTATTTTTGGAAAACCATATTGTATTTCACTAAAAGTCATTAAAAAATTAATATTCCAAAGATGATTTCACATTTTCACTAAATTGACTACTCTTACACTAATCAATTGATATTGATGATCTCCTAACTCTTAACCACTAATCTGCTCTAAATCATTCCAGTAACAATCATCCGTAGTCAAAGAGTTCTGCACTTTTCGGATCATTGTAAATCCTGGAGATGATGCGACGCATCAGTTTGGAAGTTAATCAAATATCACTCAGAATAGAAACAATTTACAATTCTTCAGAAGTTTTATTTTATGTTCTTTATGAAAGTAAGAGGAGCTTGATTTAATGAATGAATTCTTTCCTGTTTGTATTTCTGGCTGAACTGTATCTCCTAATAAGTATTAATCCTGTTCACATATTTATTATCCTCGATTGTACTTCCCTCTATTCTTTAATCTCACAACAGTATTGCCAGTTTATTTATATAATTCGTGTTTTTTAGGTGCTCACTTGTATCAAAGTTTATGTCTATTAAATGAAATAAAGTAAAAAAAATGTTTTTAGAAAATTTAATTCTCTGAATGGCACGTTGTGATGTAAGTTTTTGATAATGTAAAAACTTTCGCTTTTCCAATTTCATTGACAAAAGAGATTTACATGATTTCTTATTTTCTCAAGTGTCTTATGGGCTGACTATTCATAAAATCTCATTAAGTAATCCTACATTTCGATAGTGTAGTAAGAAGACGAAGATTATCATACGAATAAACTATTCTTTTTGTAATTATGTAAGGAACAAATATTTGTGATTCTTTGTTATTGACTTCATGTTCCATAAATACTGTGAACATGTTCATAATGAATTATTTAATTGAAATACACTATGAGATAGGCTAATATAAATTAATTGGACGAAATCCTACTGAAACACCCTTTAAAAAACAAAAAACAAAACAAATTAAGACTTACAGTTCGATCAATTTCTTCAGCTACTTTATGAATTTCATACAGTTGATCATTAACGCGCTGTTTTGCTATATCCTGTTTGAGAGTTATCTCGTTTTTATGCTGTAAAGCAATTTCTTCCAGCTTTTTATTAACTTCATCAACATTTTTATCTTTACACAATAATTTTAAAAAATTCCAATGTTTATTATGAGTAGCAGACATTTGGTTGATTGCATATAAATGATTCATTTTTTTAATTCGTAGTCTTATAGATACCAGTTAATGAAAAAGAAATCTTCCAATTCTTGTATCTTCAGCAGGTTTTCAATATAATTTTGTTGCTTTTAAATAGAAAATAATTTGATTTGCTATTTGTTCACCAACTCAGAACACAAAACAGTTTAAACTAATGTTGATTTTTGTAACTTGATTTTGTTAAAGTCTGTTATTTTTTTGTTTAACTTAGCTACCAGAGAATCTTTAATAGGCTTACACTAGAAAGGATTTTCATTTGAATCTCTTGACATATTCGTCTATGACTTGACCTTAGTTGTGTTTTTAGAGAATTATAACAATTTTATGGAATAACAACTAATTTATAACCCTTATTTTATTTGGCATATTAAGATCACGGAGAAAACTTGTTTAACAAACATTTTAGTGATGATTTCGAGTTTTGTAATTACCATTGTAATGATTTAGTAACATATATACCAGAAAATCTGTCAACAAAAATTGTCTGGAAACTTGGTATGTTCTATTTCGAAATCCTTCAGAAATAGCTTGACTTCTAATATATGCTAAATAAAGGTCGAAACCTTTATTTTCTTTGACGAGCTGGATCATTGAGTTCGAATCCCTCATCCATTATACTAAGATTTTCATCAATTATCTGAATACTGTACCGGGTAAGCTGAAATAAATAACTAACTTAGTTATTTTAACTGTGCCTCACTTTTGTTATTGAAATGAAAATCATTCATTATGTTCAACGATATTTACAAATTAAACTTATCTGAAGACGGTTAGGGTCTGTATGCAGCGAACCATACAACTTAGGTTCCCAGTCGGCTGGCATTCGACGAAATTCACACTTTTCGGAATAACAAAGTCAGTGTAATCTAAAGATTAATGATCTCATATGATAATTTATTAGGTGCATATTGATCAACTGCGACTAATATCATTTTGATCCATGTTTTCCTCTTTCTATATTATGTTGTCTTTCGAATGATTTCGAAAACTTTCAACGAAGCTTCGATTATTTTTTTATTTTTGGTTAAAATCCCAAAGTAAAACTTTCCACCTTGATTAAATGCATGATTTTATGTGAATATTTGATTAATTAAATGAAGATAGAAAGACAATATAAGTAGGCTTAATTTTTGCATAAGGTGAAGATGACATGAAATAAACTAATTCTTTTTATGAACAATTCGTATGAAAAAAAGTTTCTGTCGACTTAAAATATTCACTTGAATGTGACAAAATCAATAAAAATATTGTCTTACCTGGGTAGAATTTTTATATTAATACTTTTTCAAGTACATTTTCTGATCATAGTAAAATGACAAAACTTTGAAAGTGGAAAAAATTTCGTTTATTTAGTAAAAGTAGTTAAATAAAATGACCGGAAAATGAAAGTAAATAATGAAACTTAATTTAAGCCGAATGTTTACTTAACAAACAATGAAAATAATTTAAAATATTAATTTACAGTTACTATTAGTTTTTATAGTCAACTAGACTATTTTCTATTTTTAGTGAAGTTTCTCATGGAACATTTCAGACCAGTAGTACGTAGAAGAACGTTTATTCTTTGTATTAACTTGAAAGATTTTTAGAAATGCTCACTACCAACTGTTATCAGTATCGGTTAATTCATGATTGCTGTTCTGACTAATATTAACAAACATTCAAATCAGTGGCTGAATAAAGGAGTGTTGTTCAAATCAATTAGATTTAGAAATGATCTCAGAGTTATACAAATATAATTGCACATGAATTGTGAAGGAAATTAGCAACAAGATATAACAGTATCTGATGGATATCTGCGAGTTAAAACAAATGCCTAGACATAATTATTAATATGTATTTATTCATAAATTTTAAGTATTTCATTAATTATTTTATTAAAAGAAGCTCCAGAGTGCACTCTCAAACTCACACATGCATTTCTTCATTTGCCAAGAAATGCTAAGTTCATAGTCATGTGTTTATTAGAAAATGAATTTATTAACGAACTTATTAAAAAAAGAATACACTAATTTGTATAATAAAATTCAATGAACTATTTCACCAACCTGACAGTTAAAGTGGGTGTTGTCAACCCATACTATTGAATATATCGACGATAAATTTATGAATGTTTGAAATTTACATCTAAAGCACATGATATTGAATATTTCATAACTGGATATAAAGCAGTCAAGGTGGTTCTGTCAAGTTATCACTGAAATGTAGTCAGCTTAACATAAATGTTTTTATTTTATAAATTTGATCAAATGACTACCTCTTAGGTATTTCATAATTTTATTATTTTATATTTATATATTACTAGGGGTATTGTTTCATTTAATTGGTACTGTATATACCTATTTAAGGTATGAAGCTGTGCATTCAAACTAACAAGAAAGCTAAGAGATGAATTATGAACATTTACGATTAGATGAATATGTGTTTTTAATATAAATTGTTGGTGGCTAAGCTTTCAATAACAACCATAATCTTTAACGTCATCTCACCTAACGTAAAAAATAGTGAAAATTTTTTTATTATATAACCCAGTGTAAGTGGGACAAAGCCAATTCAATAATTGCAATATTCTCTTTAATCTCAAATTTTTAAGAAATATACTGTCAATTAATTTACGATGTGCTAAGTCATTTACCCTATTCCAGTTGTCTATGTTTGGTCAAACACATTGAGAACTGCAATTCGATTGGTTGAGACTGTTATATTTTAGTTCATACATAGAATTAAAGTTCATTCGTTTGTTAATTATTGTTTTGTCTCAGCATAGTGATCCTGTGTATTATCCAGGTGCTTAAGATAACACAAGTTTTAGAGCCAATATTTTTTCTGACAAATAGATATTTAACACTGCCTCAAATATTCCCTTCTGCACTATTTATGAAATACATTTAAAAATAAAAGAATGGTGAAACCTGAATGTCGACTACACCATCGGTCAAGAAAACAAAAGCTCATTCCCAAACCTAAGGTCAAATTTATGCAATTTGTAACTGATTCTATATTTCAAACAAGCGTTGGTTTTACGGACTTCGATTTATTTGATAACAAAATATCACTGATTTTTCGTAAAACAGATAGATGGGGAATTTTCAAGACCCACTCTTTCTTCATTGTTAGAATTTACTGAAGATGGTTTAGTAAAACTATCTTCAAAAAAACTTTATTGACGAATTGTGAACATAATGTTGTAATTGATAGACATCACACTGTTTTAATTTCTTTGAAAGAGGGACTCGTTGATGACTAAAAATAAAGATGTTCTTGGAGAATTTTCGCAAACTGTGAAAGTTTTAAGTCACCATCTCCTTTAATTATAAAGAACAGAATGATCATCATGAAGGTCATACTATAGACATGTTACCATTTAGTCATTGAACCAGAAAATATGATGTTCGGTGTATTTTAACTCTAGCCACTTGAATCTAAAGCAAGACTATCATGAAGAACTATTTTTGATAATCAGTCTATATTTGTTTTTCTTTATAAGCTATAATAGATGTTTCTTGGAACCATTTAAACACTCAAATTTCACATCATGTAAATACTCCATAGATGAATCTCTTATTGTTCAGATCTAATATCGACTAATACCAAAGCAGAATTTTTTAAATTTAAACGTTAATTTTAAACCAACAAATTATTTCTTCGTCTTCATAATTGAGAGACACCAGTAATTTTATAAAATCTACGTAGTTTCTTCATTTTTCCTATTCGATTTCATTAGTTACTTCTACTTTGAAATAGAATTTTAGTTTATTATTCAAGTTTATTTCCATTTACATATTTAAATTGAGGTTTGTTAGCTAAGATTAACGATAAATTGTGTGAATACTAAATTTTGACGTGTTTTATTCTGCAGAACGACAAACAAACTGAACAGGTTCAAGAGACTACTAACTATTGATAAATACAGATTACTGAAAACCTATTTTATAACGTTGAAGTCTTTGTGCAGCCAGTAATTAGAAGTAAACAGAGGTAACAAACATTCTTTTATGAGTGATAAAACCATAATTCCATGTAGATAACTATAAACAGGCAGTCATATTAAATTGTTTTTGAAGACAATATTACAAGGTCTTTATTATCTGGTTCACCTAATATGCCTTCATTAACAAACACAGATCTTAAGTTCAGTTTTTGTCATAAATTATTACCGTCTGGTGAACCATTGAGAACTATGTAGCCTTTGATAACTGTTTCGTCATAGTTTAGTATTCAGGGAGCTAAGAACCTAATTCATACATTTTCAGGGGAATTGAGCTTCCTTGCATAATGTAATTAATTTCGACTTAAAAATCTTAATGAGTATAAGGAACACACTATTCACCGAGTCTCTATAGTAATATGTCCTCAGTTGATGAGGTGTTCAATAAAAGGTCGAAAATGAATTCAAAATACATGTAGAAGATAAAAGTAAAGGAAATGAACTAAAAATATGATATATGTTCTCTTCAGATAACGAAAATTTTGTCGATTACCGCATTTGATCAAAAGTAACTCAGCGAAAAATTCATATTTTAAAACGTGGTTCCGTTTCTTAAGAACCACTAAAACTGAATTTAACATCAGCTAAACACTTTGAAGAAAACGAACTAACAAACAATTAAACAACTTAGTCGACTTTTATCGTCTTTATAAACAATGACGATTGGTAATAAAGGTTGATTTCTTGTTCCTCATACTCTGAAGAAATGAACGATGAATAGACATGATCTACTTCAGATGTAAATTTTTTTACTCGTGATCTAACCCTAAGTTGTTATTGATGAGTGTAAAATGTTATGTCACATGATATTCTAAATGTACTTGCATAATTAGATTTTTTAATAACTGTATTTACATTCTGTATTACTTAAAATTTTTTATGCTCATCGACGTACGTTTGTTAGTCACTGTCTACAATCTGTGGGAAATCGGCCATAAAATTTTCTGTCCAAAGTTGATAATTCGAGGTATCTGAACTAGAGACAAATATAATCCATATGTTAAAT